AGCTAAATGCTAAAGCAGCAAATGACGAAACACAAGTGTGTGCCACAGGCATGCATGCACGGGATAAACAAACTAAACATACAAATGCACTTTAGACAAGCAAAATGAGGATTACGTAAATTGACCTGCGTATTAATGCGTGCAACTTTGTGTACATTTAAAAGCCCAACCATGTCCTGGTAACCAGTAAGGAGTTGTGCCATTTCCTTGTCCTCATCTAAAACAATATAACAACACCTTTAAGGCAACTTATAAAGGGCTGGGCTATTGAAAGCTTCAGAGTTCTCGCCCATTGAATCATCTCAAGATTCATCATAATCGATGATATATTATCATGCACAAATCATGAAAATGATCCAACAGTTGCAAAGTTCAAACCATCCATAACACAATATTAAATATTAAATGTCATAACTGACGTAGAACCTGGAATTGCCCGAACTGATAGCAGGGTATCTGCCATATGTTGCAATCGTTTTGAGCATGATGGAGAAAGAAGTGAAGGCGGAAAGGTTACAACAACAACAGCATTTGAAGATCGGGTCATGCATTTCAGAGACCTAATAAAGGACAGCATCTGCCATTCCTGTGATAATAATTGTTAAATTGGCAATACCAAATACAAAAGCATAAACAAGGTCATAATACACAAAAGGAAATCATTTAAACCTTAGAGATTATGACATAGTTACTCACCTTGTCTGAATATTTACACTGGGGAGAACAGAATGATTGAATAGCAATCCGACCAGCTGAGGAAATGTTACTTCCATTTCTGATTGTCACCATGTAATGTCAGTAAATTCAAAATACACAACAAGTTTATTAATTAAGAATGAACATATTCATCAAACTCTTAAAAAATCCTTGGTGCGGTCGTTATAAAAAATTAGGACTGGAGAAAATGTCCAGGATCAGCACCAAGGCAGACCAAATCAATAGGAATGCAATGCTACACTCGCGATTTATGCTAACAGGTTGAAGCAGTTTCAAGCAGAAAATTTGGGCTCAGAATGATTAACATAAGTTATTTTGCATGAATAAACAAAATTTTCAACCAAAATTCCTGGGGTCATACACAAAATCCTTGGATCATTATTTTTGTTCCTACAATGTTTCCAAATGATGATATGGATGAATAGTTGACCAAATTTCTCACATCAAACATGTTAAAATGACTGAATTAGAGCTAGAGTTCATCAACCATCAAAACACCTTGAGAATTGAGCTAAGAATGTTGCGCATTGGTCTTGAAGGAGAGTAAGATTCGTCAAATCTTTGATACTGACACAATCTACATGGACGCCACTAAAAAATTGCCTTTCCAGAGGCTTCCGCAAATCTAAGTCATGACAATAATCATGCCTGGCACCTGCATTGTAAATGTGAAGTGTACATGCTTAATATTTGCAATGAGATGAGTTGGTGACTCATCTGCACATCCGAGGTTGGACGTCATATATTGACAATTTCCCTATCCTCTTTTTAATACAATAACCCTCGTTTGGAAGAGAAGAAAAGTTGGGAGGAAAGAAAATGAAATGGGAAAAGATGGGGAGAAGATGAAATTGGAGAGAAAACATCATCACTCCTCCTATTACGATGGAAGAGAGAAAGTAGAGAGGAAAAAATGAGCAAATATCTGAAATGACATAGTAAATACCCCATCCTTATATCAAAATATATTATATTTAAAATCAAATTATATATTACAATTAAAAAAAAGGTCATATAAAAATTACATCATCAAATAATTTAAAATTAAATAATTTGGTAAATATACATATTTTCATATTATTATACTTAATTTATTACATGGTAAAGATATAATTTATCATTGGAAAAATCATATTACTCATGCAATACGACACTAAAAAACGACAAACTTAAATCCAAGGTTATTTTTCACGGGAAAATCAAAGCCTCTTGTTTTAAAAAAAAATAATAAAAGCCTTCAAATGTTGGAAAAGACTTCATTCTCAAATTGCTGACTTTGTTATACAATGAGAAAATTTATGACCATTGCATTGTAAATTGGAAAAGACTTCATTCTCAAAGCACATGCCACCATATGTCAATTGTTTTGTTTAAATGACAGCAATATTATTTGCAATTACCGGCAAAAATAATTTATCAGTGACCAAACAACAATAACAAAGAGACTTGACTTTATGCAATTTTATAATGCATAATATCATGGCTAGAAATCCATGATATTAGTCAAAATGCTTTTTTTTTTTTTTTTGGGCCAAGACGAATTATACTATGCATGAAGCTCCCTACAAGCATAGCAACTAAGTAAACTAGATACTTTGTACTGTCTGATTGAGAAACCAAATTAAAATCATTCAAGAGGTAACATTAGAGTATACTTAAGATCAAACAAGCTTACCATTGCTAGAGCTAATATTTGGCAGTGGCTCACCAAAATACTTCTTGTATTGCCAAGCAATTCTCAAATTGTTATCCTAAAATTACACACACAATGAAGAATAACATAAAAATAATAAATACATAACAGAATGCACAAAGTAAGAATGCAATGACTGAAGTAAGTTACGTGATTAGGATCAGGGTCACGAGATTTTTCATCTTCAAATGACCTTGGATTAGGCAAAGTACCCAGAAATCCTCTAGGATCTCTAGATGGACTGGCATACAAGAGGGGTTGCTTGTGGACCAGTCCCTGTGACATAAAATTTCTCAATACAAGCATATGATGAGGTGCTTCAGCATCTTCCAACACCATGACAAGGCTACCCAGAGAAAAGCCACCACCCAAAATTTCTAATTAAAAAATAAAAAAAGTTCTATGAGCAGAGGCTACATTTGAATCGCATGAAATTTAACTGATTCATGTACTCTAGATGATTTGAGGAAAGTGAGAAGAGAGGGAATTACTGTCTAAATCCGAAATCCCAGATGACATAAAAGTCGTTCCATTAGGGCCATGCTTAAGTCCAGGATTCTGAGAAGATGTTACATTAGGAACATTGCGAGAAAAGCTACTAACTCGAGTCTTGGTTGTGGACATTGCAGCATCAATAGTCAATATGCCAAACTAGACCAAAATAGTAGTTGAAGGCTTGTAAAATGCACTGCAACTCCATATAAAGAAAATATAATTATACAAAAGCATGAAAGTAGAGATCTCGATTTGCAAGATACAAGAAAGCAACAAATAAATGACATTCAGTAGAAGATATTTGGCTTCAAAGAGCATAAATGGGGAAAAATTACTTTCAAAAGTGTATAATTGTACTGATGTCCCCGGTGCCCATAGAAGCCAAAACATGAAATGTAAACCGAGTATGATAAATAAATGGGCCAACAATTTGCACCATTCAAGTATATTAGTGGACAATCCTTCAAGGAATAAGTTTGTACACCTTAGGTGTGTGTAAAGGCATCCCATATAATCTAAAAATTGTTCTCAATTATAAATGGAAATCTCTCATTATTCTTTAATTCAAATAATCAGCTTCAACATAAAAAGGTATGCCTTAATCATTCATGTTAGAGTTAACAGTGGATTTAATCAATAGCATATGCCTTAAATAACAATCTCAACAAGATTTCAAAGAAGCCTTAAAAAAAATCACATTCTTATTTATTTATTTTATTCCGGATTCAATATTCCATTTATTAGCTCAAACTTAATCACCATGCTATATACATTTATTCTTAATACATTGAGAACACTTAACTGTCTTATTCGAATTCAATTCCTCTCCTACACATTTTCACAAACACCTTATTCGCATTAAGGTCAGACAAGTTTATTGAGCTTTTCAACCGTCAAATCCTTTGCCAAAAATTTATCTAAACATCCATGTATAAAATTATTATGCTTCCCTATTGCAAAAATTTACTAAGAACCAATTTAAATACAGCAACACAAAAATTAGATTCAATTATGACAGCAACCAAAACAATTATACTGAAGTCGTCTATCTAAATAAGCTTCTCAAGCTTCAGGTGAGCATGTTTGAACTTCCATTTCCCCTTCTACAACGTGCATAGCGCGTAGAAAACAAACCAAAAGAAAATGATTCGAAGCTCAACCCACCCACACACAAGACGGCTACGTAAGACCAAGAAAGGAGAGGAGTTTCGAACTGAACCTCCACTCAATAGCAGTTTACAGAGCCGAAGAAGTAACAAAAGATGAAGATGCAACTGCAAGAGAACACATCTGACGCACAGCAGAACACGAAGTGAGAGACGAAGATCAGCCCTCTCCCAAGTCACCAGAACAAGCCGAACAGAGAAGGGAAAGGGAGAATCCGATAATCTCAGTGACAGCCGGAGGTTGGCGCGACAGGAGAATCACGGTAGGGATTTCAAACTTTTCAGAGGTGCTTCAAGCTTCTCCACGTTGGGCTTCTCTCCCATATTTTCCCAACCGCTGCCCCTCCAGGGCCCGAAAAACGACGCCGTTTCCCCCAATTTCGTGGGAGCATCCAGTTTGGACCAATTGGTTACGAACCAATTGGTCCAGCTTTGGATCAACATTGGCCAGCCCATAGCCCAAAAATCCTAATCGTGCAGAAAGGGCCTTTAACACGCGTTATAAGTGAAATTTATATTTAAACCTTTCTATTAACCCTTTCTTACTGCGTGTCCCGGAAAGGGGGGGGGGAACCGATCCTTTGATAAATTTGAAAAATAAAGTACAATAAATTCAGTATCTTAATTAGTTTCTATTAATAATATCTTAATCAGTTTCTATTAATATCTTTATTGTTAGGCTCAGTTACATTGTCCCCCCGGGGGGTGGTTAACTATTTTTGGCAGGCTTAATTAATCAAAATGTGTTACCAATGTTTCGTATCATTTTATCTCAAACTAATTTACATAACTTATAAATTGATATATAATATAATATTATATAAAAATATTGTTAAAAGAATATAAGATCATATTACAATTATTTTAATTAACTAACTTATTTAACATCTTTAATCACCCTTGTTGGCCCAAAAAACACATCTTTAATCTATCCAAATACTCAAGCAATGGAATTCAAATTATTTTTGAACATTACATATTTTGTGCATATCCTTATTTGAGTGCCGTACGTTCTTGTAACTGACCCGACCTATTTCAACAAGCCTCAAAAGGCAAAAACTGCTCAAACCCTAATAACTTCTTTTGCCATTTTCTCTTGTTCCAAGAACATTTCTGAAGCAATTAACCAACAAGGAAGTTGCAGAGGAGGCAACAACAAGCATCCTCATCATCATCATCATCAGGAGGCAAAGGCCAATGAAGAACATGGCAGACCTACCTCTTCCCCACACAGATTAATACATACAGGAGAACACTAAACTACATTTAAACACAGAAGAAAATAAAATGGCTTTTGTCAGAAGCACAAGGTGCACTTCCCCATCTTCTTTCTTCCCCAAACACAGGACGTGGCATGCTTATTTTTCTGGTTTAAACTGTATTAACCTGGGTCTCTTGGCTGTTTTTCTGGCAAATATGAGTTTGTGATTGGCTGTGCAAAACTGCAAGAAACCATCCAGTAACAGAAGTTCAAGTTATATGGCAGCTCCAAGAAGTGAAGTACAGAAGGTAAGCGAATATGAAATATAATTTCTCAAAATATTCTGAGTTCAACTCGTCAAAAAAGAGGAGGATCTATAAGGTCATGAGTTCCAACTTATAAAACAGAATGGGTTGGCACTTAACACCTTTCCAAACCCATTTGTTTATTTTAACTTACCAACCCATCTGGAATTGCCTTAATTATTATCTACATTAAAAAATCAAAATTCTTGAAGGCTAATTAAAAAAATAGAATGAACAATAACTTTCAACGTTGCCTGGCACCACAAACTAGCACTGGGTTATTGTAAGAAAAAGGAAAACAGAATAGTCATCAGAAACTTACTTGAAAGACTCTGAACCAGGCGCATTCAAGTAGCTGGCAGATGGATTAAGTTGGTGTTGAACTGAAATCATGTCACCCTCTATTCCTCCAGCAGGCACAGGAGATCCCTGGAAGCTTGCCACTGAACCTTTTCCTGATGACATCCCTGCAAAAGGAATGGAATGATCATCAGAAACGTATAAGCCATTATTGTAGCCAGAACAGAGATGAAAGCCAGGTTGGTCGTTGAGAAATTTAACATAATAGCAAAAGTTTAATGAACTAAAGGTCAAGGGAGCAAGTGCAGGTCAACTGTAGGTTGCATTGTTCCAAAATTGGATTTAATCTCTCACGTGACAACTGGTTTTTATCTCTAATGTACCCCTTCAAGATAAAGCCCTTTTGGCTTAAATAACGCAGACACCTTACACGTTCCAAATTGGATCTAATTATCCCAAAATATGGGCCCTATGGATCAAGCTCTTAATTGATTGGTTGCAGAGGCAATGATATATTAAATTATGGGTCCCATTTTAATTGCCAAGGACCAGCTCTCCCCAAAAGATAAAGTTGTTAGGTGCTATGAAAATCCCTACTTCGCTTTCTCACATGTAAACAAATATCTCAAAGAAAAACGGAAAGCAAACAAGGTGAAGAATAAAACTTGAAAGCATGACTAAAACCTAACTTATGCTATGGTTAGCCTGCACCAAATTTATGTGATCAACACAACATACAAAGGAAAAACAAATACTGTACAACGAAGTAAATTGGAAAAAAATTGTAATATGTCTAAATGTTCAATAAATGAAAAAAATTGTAACGTGGATAAATATTTTTAACATTTTGCAGGGATATTTGATAAAATGAAAGCCTTTAATCTTCATTCATCTTTTACCCTGTTTTGTTCTGAAACTAAAAGTGGTCCGTATCTTGCAATTCTGACCTAGTCAACAGGGTTGACAAAAGGAACCATTAGAACCGGCAAACAGTAGATATTGTTTTGGCTATAAACAGAAATTCAACATGCAGGTATTTCATGGGAGAGTAATAATCATATATTAACCTGAGAGGTCATTCTTTATATATCTCATTCCATTAGACATGCAAATATCACTGATAGGTTGATTCCTTATAGAATCACAAAACAAAATACCTTTCAGGTCCTAAATATGAAATGTTGGAGCACATTGAACAACAATGATAGTTTTAGCCACACAAGTAACATCCAAAATGCAGGATCTGCATGCACATGGAAGCAAGCTAGTTTTATAGCAAATAATACCTTGGGATATAATCACAATAAAGAAGACAATAGTGAAAACCATGGAAAATATGCTGCTACTTGATGATGAAGTTGATTTAGCAGCTTTCATCTTCTTCAAGGTTTTCATGCGTTCTATCCTTGCACGCTTCAACATGGCAAGTTCAGTGATCTCCCTGATTAACTTCTGGTCAGCTGCATCCAAGGACGGAGCTCGTGGAGGTCTTGGTGGTCTGGGAGCCTTTTTATTACTGGACTTTTTAAGTTTCTCTTTCACTGTGGTCTTTGTTGCACTATCTACTGAGTTTTCCCTTGGCAATGACATGCTAGTCACTTTCGACATATGCACTATAGGAACTCCACTTAAATTTGATTCATTGCAGCATAAAGTTAACCTATCATCACCCTTTGCATAATCCCTAGAAAACTTAGCAAATAGCGTCCCTCCTTTTCCAGCACTGTCTAGAGTAGAAATTTTCCTCAAATCATCCGCATCCACACTTAATCCAATTTCAAGATCAACTTCGTCATCTTTATCTCTTACATTTTTATGATCCATCCCCATTTCGCAAAGCCACAAACCCAAATCCAACTTTTTCCTCTATGTTATACTGCAAAATTAGTAGAGGCACAAAAGTTCCCTCAAAATTTCACCCTTAACCAAATCCTTGAATTTAACCCATAATGCAAACTGGCCTCCTGAACGAACCAGAAATCATCAAGATGTACCGTTCAACTGACAATAATAATTTAGATGCCTCCCAAACTTGCACTTCAGACACGTTTCAAAATAGTAACAAACTGGATATTACCATCAAAGTTCTCCCTCTTCCTTTCTAAGCTCTATTGCCACGATCTCAATTCTGATTCCAACCCCTGTTCAGAAAACAAAATGAAGTAACCCTGCATTATGACAAGAAACACAATTGAGTAAGTTAATTACATGGGAGTTGGTCTTGTTATGAGATGCAAAAGAGATTAATTGAACGAAAAAAGTGCAACTGTAAGCAAGCTAAAAGCACCATTTCAAACATACAAAGAGCATAAATCATCACAAAATTATTGGGAAGAAAGAAAGGAACCGAACAGCCGGAAAACAGAAGTCCAAGAAAAAGTTAAGGAAATAGGATATTAGAGGAACCAAAAACCTACAAGGCCGTATCAGTGGCTTGGAAATGCCTCTCACCCAGGAAAGAATCTGAGAAGAAGGTGAAGACGAAACATATATACACACACATACACAAAATCTATGAACCGCACAAAGCAAAGCAAGGGAAAATCACTCTAACCAGTACCCCACATCATATGGAGTCACATTGCATCCCATATGATCAAAAATAAATGCCCCATAAAAGAAAACCCACAAAATCCAAGAAACAAAGAAACTTCGGACTAGCTTCAGCCATTATAACAATATATGCATCAGACAAATAAGCTGAAGAAGACGAAGAAGAAACGAAGATACGTTTATGGCAAAGCAAAGGAACCCCAGATCCGATGAGCATTGAGAGAAGTCACTGCCTTAAAGAGAAGAAGAGTTGAATTCTCTCACACAGGCAAAAGAGCTTTAAAGCGAGAGGTAAGAACACCACACGAGAAGAGAGGAGGGTAACCAGGAAAGCACTGGAATTTCAAGATTTCAAAATGAAAAATCACATCTTTTTTGGCTTATCTCGCATTCTCTCTCTTCATATTGTCGCTTATCATCTTTCAATTTTTCTCACTCCCATGTGCTGTAATGCAAATCGGCATATTTATGTATCCATCGAGGAAGAAAAGACGCAATGTTGATCGAAGCGAGCAGGCTTTGCCGATCAGATGACAGTTGGCAAATTGGCATATTCACCTCTTCGTGGCTTCGACTGATTTGTTGTTCTTTTGTTTCTGTAGATAAATTTTTCCGGACCGTTTTTTCTGGGTCATTTGGATAAATCCATTGTTTTAACTAATTATTACTTTTGTACTTAATTTAAGCTTCTATGACTTAATTTTGATGTCTAATTTTGGCGTTTCTGTTTGCTTACATAACTGTATAGCGGTCTAATATCATATCATAGATTTGATTGTTATGGGAAAAAAACAACCTTTTTTTTTTTGTTAACAAGTGGATTTAACAAAATTTTCATATTCTTGTCATTTGAAATTGTTTGCATGTTCAATTTTCTTATTTTTGTGATTGGCTAATGGCTGGCCTTTTCTTTTAGTTTAATTGGATTTTGCTGAAATTGACTGAATATGATTGGCAAGCCTTTTTATGTTAATGTTTGAATAAAATTGACGCTTTATACCACAAAAATCAAATAACTTTCTAAATTTTTTTTTGGTTAATTTTTTTGATTGCCTATATGTACTTGTTTTGTATGAAAGAATAAGATTAAATTTATGTTAACGTTTGCACCTTAATAAATTGGTAAATATTATCAATTACAAAACAAGGGCATTGCAACTTTATTTCTGATTGGATTTAAAAATATAATATTTTTTATTGATATGAACCATTGTTGATATTATTATTAAGATGATATTTTAAAAATTTATTTATTTATTTGGGCATCAATATATCTCAGAAAAGCAGCTTCAGCCGACTGGTTCCTTTTTTTATTTTTTTAATATCATTCTTTTTTTTTGCCTAATCTTTTAACATCATTCATAAATTTATATTTCTGATATAATTATATAATATTTCAAGGTTCCAACGTCATTCTTAATTATGAAAAATTGCTTAACTTTATACGTGCATGCATTATATGTATATATAACAGACACATGCGTGTTAGAATTTTTCTTTCAAAAATTATTTTCTAATATGAATATATCTATTATGAATATTATTTGAATGACATTATTCGAACCATATTCTAATAATATTATTCAGATAAATTTAACACATTCACTTTAAAAATTGAGCTATACCCTGAATTTTCTTCGCTTGTGTAATCTGATATAATTATGATTAGAAAAGGATAGGTCGTGATGATATTATTAATAAAATAATGGTTAAGGGTGAGAAAAATGGCCCATCATACAAAATAGTAGTTATATATTTATTTATAGACACTTATAAGACTAAAAATTATATTGTAGTATTTGAAATAATTCAGAAGACAATGTGATAATTAGTATTTAATGTTATTTTTTTCCCCTGATAAAGTGAATTTAGGGCTGCAAAAACGTGTATAGCTGCGAACTGCTGGCTAATCAGTCTCAACTGAGGAGATTATGTTTGATTATAAATATAAAAAATAAGTTATTTTATCTTATATTTATTTTTTTTAAAATTAATTTGTCTAACTTATAAATTGATATATAATTTAATATTATATAATAATATTACTGAAAATCATATGACATTATTTATAATCAATTAATTTATTTGAGTTTCTTAATTTACCCAAACTAATTAACTACTACCTCTTATGGTAAACACGAGAAAGAGAAGGAGTATAATATAAAGTTTAGATATTTAATGATTAGCTTGGCAAAAAAAGAAGAGATATAATAGATTAGATCACTTAGCAGATCTGATGATCCGAAACGGGACATTATATTAGAAAATAATTAATAATAAGGTTTACACAATCACGTGCAATTTGGGGTCACATCTATGAAATAAGGAGCAGAAGCACGTGGGGCTGATACTTAAGAGATTGACCACTGGCTCATTCAGATCAGTCTCCCCAGACAACATCCTGGGCTAACAATATTAATGCATCCAATTCAGTTGTTGTTCGGATTGCTGAGGTAACTCCAAAGAAAGTGAGTAAAGACAACGCATTTATTTATAAAAACAAATCGGATTAAGTTTAGATGCACATTTCTAGTTGGACTTGATTTAAAATATTACAATTTGAGTTTGGATCATACGAGTTGATTATCTGAGTTTAACGTTTTTACGTTTTTAATTAACAAAATCGTATCAATTCACTCTTAAACTCATAAGAACTGTAAACTCAATTAAACTTACAAGTTCATTTACCGAGTTTATCGTTTTTACGTTTTAAACTTACAAAATCGTATCAATTCGCTCTTAAACTCGTACTAAATTTTTAGATTTGATTATATTTAGTGACTTTACATATAAATTTTATAAAAAATTTTTTGTTAAATGTGATAAATTATGAACATTAATGGATATAATTTTAATTATTTAAATTTAAAATATATTTAAATGAAATTGTTCTCATTTTTTATATATTAATTATTTGATTACATATTTTTAATACCAGTTTATTAATAAAAGTAAACTCTTACGAGTTTACGATTCGAGTTTATGATCCGAATTTATCTCATTCTCACGAGTTTGTTTAAACTCGTGAATTTGACAACCATGGTTTGGTTTGGATGCAAGGGCCGTAAAATCTTAGAATTAATGGGATTAATACTATTTTTTTTTCATATCGATTCTTACTATCTATCAATCAATACGGGAGCATCGGACTTTTTCTCTCGCATGTAGGGCCAGCTCTTCCCTCTCCCTTTTCAGAAATTTCTTGAGGCGGTAAGTGCTTATTGTCTCTCACTTTTGTGCAAGTGTCAGCCACGGCGTCTCCCTCGCCGGCTCCTTCCGCCGATAGAGGAGACGTTTACCTCCGTCCTTTTTTCCCCTTTGCTCTGCTTCCCTTTTTGTGGTGATGTTCTTTTTTTTTTTTTAATATACAAAAATTTCAGGTAAGTTGGGTCTCAGGATTTATCATGACCAAATATCTCTAAGCTCAAAAAGCACTTACAGAAGTTCTTATGGATCGCCCACCAGTAAGATCCTCATATTGGAAGTGGAATTCGAACTCATAACTTTATGGGTTATTATCAACCAACTATTTAGCAACTGTATCAACTCTTATTGATTGTGATGGTATTCTTTGTCTATTCAGCAATAAACAAGTCTATAATGTGTGGCACTGCTTGCTTTTTTTTGTTTTTTGGTGATAAAAAGGGGCCAAAGCCAAGTTCACTAAAACTTAACTAAAGATCCTACGGGGCCTACAAAATCCTTATAGATCTTCCTTTAAGATATTCAGCACTTCACAGGGGGTGTGCTCCAGATCACTTTTTCCACTGATTGTTCCATACTCAACTGAGCCATTCGGTCCGCACCCCTGTTGCATTCTCTAAACATGTGATTGAGAGACGTTTTCCAATCTCTATTGAGTATTTCCTCCAATCCACTAGTTGCTTAGCATCACATTCCACTTCAGTGTTTCTGAATCCTAGTTCCCAGCATAGTTGTAGTCCTTCATATATGCCCGATGCCTGATTGTGTCTGATGTCACATGCAGGAAGCCTCATAGTATATCCATGCAGCCATTCTCCACAGTCTCTCCTTATAACTCCTCCTCATCCCGTACGGCCTCCTGATGCTCTTGTTGCATCTGTATTTAGTGCACACCAACCTTTGTTTGGTGGTTTCCAGGACACAAAGATGATCTCAGCACGTGGCAGAGTCCCAGCATCTGCCTCCCATCTTCTTAGGTAGTCTTGCTGATGCTGGCTTATAATGTTTCCTGCATTCTGAGTTTGGGTCATGCAGTTGGTTATCTTCCATTTCCACATGTACCAATAGTTGTGGCAAAAAGGTCCGGCCAATGTAAGTCCTCGTGTTTCTGGCTTAATCCATCCAAACAGATTGAATTTGAAGAAGGACTGTCTTCTCTCTCTTGGTATTATTTCTTTCCATATTGCTTTAACGGGTGGGTAATCTCTCAAAGCGTGTAGGGGATCTTCTCTTCCTAGCTGACATATCTCACATTTTTCACTAGTTCCATCCCACTTGCTTGTTTTGCTCCTTGTCAGAATCCTTTCATTCAAGACTAGCCACACGAAAACTCATGCTCTTTCTGAGGTATATAGTTTCCACATACGATTCCACACTTGTTTGTAAGTGTGTCCTGTCTTCTTTGCTCCATGCATATGCACTCGCTGCTGTGGCACTGCTTGCTTTGATGGTGATTTTTCATATCCCGATTCAATGGCTTGGATTTACGCTCTTGGGAAAAGGGTTTTGTTGACATTGGCTGCCAAATACTTTATCTCTCAATTCTCAAAGGCTAGTTGCTGGTTCTGGTTTGTTATTGCGAATCCAAAGCTAATGTTGGGTAAAAGTATCAAGTAGTGTTTTTCGGTGGGTGGCCAACGGTAAGTTCTATTTCTTCTCTGATGCTGTTCATTTCGTTGGTGGCTGTGGGTGTTTGCTTCTATGGGTTCTCCCACACTTGTCAACAATCATTGTTGGTTGCTCGTTGGCTTACAAGAGGGATGGGTCCTTTTAGGGTGGTTTTTTCAAACCCCCACCCTTTACTTTGGCATCAGTGTAGGCGACAACGTTATTCTACCTGTAGATTTTGGTGAAGCGATGAGAGTGGTGATTTTGATAGCAGCTACTCCTTTAGTAGCGTTGTTAGGGTTATGATTTTTGTTATTGGGCTGTTAGCTTGAACTTTTGTTATTGGACATCTTTTTGGGCTGTGTATGTTTCTGTCTTTATATTAATGAAAATCTCTATTATTAGGTTAAAAAAAATTATAGAGGAGCGGTTAAATTGTGAGAATTAAAAAATACACTTCATGTAGACGAAATATGTATTTCAAATTCTCATGGCATAATTGGGTGGTTCTGCTTAGAGGGAAAAGGGAGCGTCACGAAGATGACCATATGATGCTTATCACTGTGGTAAGATCAACATTGATTAAATTAAAAATTATTTTTTCAAAAATGGATCAACGTTGGCTAGTTAAATCATTGTTATTTTAAATTTTGCAGGCATCAAAGTAATTTTTTAAAAAATAAATCTGAACAGTCCACATTTCAGTACCCGTGAGTGTAGCTGGGAGTGCTGGGAAGAGCACGGGGATCGGTACTGACTTGCACAAATGTACTCCTCTCATATCGTTCGTTGGTTGATGTTTGATCACAAGGGATTAGGGAGATCAACGCTAAACTTCATTTTTCTCTTTTAGGTCATGCGACTCATGTCCAGTGAAAAGCCCTACTCAAATTCTAGTTCTAGCGTGAGTTTTTGAGTCGATTTGGTTTTTCCAAATCACTTTTAAGATCTGATAAAAAGCTAAAACTTCACAATGGCAGCTCCACTTGATGGCTTGGAAGCAAATACATAGAGGTCAAGGTCATTCTCTGTGATGATGCCTCTCTCAATCCTAGACTGGTAGAAATGTTTCTGAAACACATATATAGAATCCACCATTAACAACTTATATTTATTCAAATGGTAAATTAGAGGACTATTATCATCTGAAACGAAACCTTCAAATTCAGGATAAAATGTGGAACCATGCTTTCTTTCACCAAAGCAACTGCACAACCTCCCCATCCAGCTCCTGTAAGCCTAGCCCCAAGAGCACCATTTTCGCGACAAATATTTACAAGTTCTTCTAACTCTGGGCAACTGATTGCATGAACAAGACAAAGAAATTGCAAAATGTTTTGTTATTATAAAGGAACAAATCTTACTAGGCAGACAACGGCAGAAGCAAAAGAAAACACACAAAGCCAAGGTGACTCTTATGTAAATATTTTGGTTCGATAAGTGAAAGGTAATGATTCTTACTGACTAACTCAAAGGAAGAAGATATGCTAAGATAGGTTCAGAAGGCTTTATCCAAAACCTATTCGTTAATTTAATCAGATTGAAAAACTTATAAAAGAGACATTTGATCAGTAGCATTCTTCATCCTGGGATTTGAAAGTCAACTGAGAAAAGCTCATCTAACACAGTGAAGCTTAACCAAAGATGACAGACAAAATCCAACAGAAGCAATTTTTTTATTAAAAAAACAAAAATTAAAGCGGATTCTAAAAGCCAGTACTGGGTGTCATTACCTGCATTCATATAGAACACTGCAACTATAATGACTTTCATTCATAAGATCACCAAGCTTCATCAGCATCTCCTCCTGGCTGAAAAGAGAATGAAGTGAATGTCAAACCAATGAATGGTTGGGATTTAATCATTTCATAGGATGATTATCAATCATCTAATAAATTACGCAAAATTAGCAATGATTTGAAGTACTGTATTCATCACGTGAAAATTCCGTAACGGTGAAAGAGCATCCATGAAAAAGTATAGCTGTGGTCGCCTATGAGCTCACTTTACTCACCTTAAATTTGATGATACGATTTCTTGGAAAGCATGTACCCTCTTCGCTTCTGAATAAACATGGGTGGCTCTCTGGAAATACGTTTCTAAAAATTAAATAATAACTTATAAAAGGGACTGTTTACCCTTGCAGCTACTGAGAAATTATCATTATCACCATGCAAAACAAAAGGAACAAGAAATTAATTGATATTTCCTGATAGGAATAAGTTATGCCTAATTCGTAACTTCTTTCTACAGGGCATACGGGATTTCTTTATTGGATTATAGACTTCTTTCTACAGGGCATACGGGATTTCTTTATTGGATTATAGACTTCACAACTCATTCCAGTTATTAATCACATAAAACAAACTGCTGAAACAAATAAGAACCAGTAAATTAAGATCTTAACATGGTTGGTACAAATAAAATGAAAGTCAATGGGAATTGAAGAAGATACCTGATGCAACTTGTAGTGCTCAGCAACTTTTACCACGTTCAAATAAGCAGGGTTGCTGCTAAAAAATGAGGCAAGTTTTTCCTCAGTGATGTTCTCAATTTCTTCAGCTGTATATGGTTCTTCCTTCAAAAATTCCTAAGCCAAATGGGATGTTTTTTTTGTTTTCTTTGTTAAAGTAGAAATAGGGTCTAAGCAAATTAGAATGTACAAATAAAGCCATATTTAAGTTAATTTCAAGGATTGCTATTTTAAAAGAAAAACAAGGATGGCGTAAGACTAGACAAAAATTACCTTGACAGCAAGAACAGGATCAGAAGATTTGTGACTGTTAGCAAATGATAAGCATAACCCTTCAACATCAGACAATGTTTTCACTCTTGATATTGCCTCTTCTGGTTTCATTCCTAGCTTTATACCAAGCACTATCTGGGAAAAAAAAAAAATCCCAATAGCATAATGCAAGATTGGAAAAATTGACAAGACTGGCAACTTACAGCTCTACCTAAACTAGCTTTCCAAATGGGCACAGAAGCACACAATATAGCAACTGATTTTTCATCTGAGCACAAAATTATCATATGTATCTGATATCAATGGGTCTTTTTTTTGTTTTTTAATAAAAGAAATAGCTAACTGAAAGTTTTTGGACCTTGATGAAACTTATATCTAGTTGGACCATGTTATAAGACTCCGCTGTCTACTTGTGTATTTCCTTCAAGTTACTCTTGCAGGTTCTGAAGGAGTATATCTGATGGCGCTGAAGATTCAGAGCAGATTTACAAATCATTTCCTAGGGCCTATCGCAGAGTTCATGGGAAGGGAAATGATGTAAGAAAGAGCAATTCCAGTGGATATGAGAACCAACTTGAGGTTGCTAGCCGTAAGGGAAAAAGAAGTGGCATACGAGTAGGGAGTAGTTACAGCTAGGGATATATTTAGTCTTTTGTATCTTTCAGGTCTTTAAATCTTCTATTTCGTCCAGAGAGTTAAGTTCTGTCTTCTGGAAATTGGGAGGGGTGAGGAGAGTTCTGGCCTCTCGAATGTCAGGTTGGGGGTGGAAGAAGATCATCTACCTTCATCATTTTCTCGTTTTGTCTTGGTGTGTTAGTGAGTTCGAATGTATTGAGTGCACTTTCTTTTGTATCCACTAGAATATATCATCTATCTGAGTGAGTTCTTGTACGGTAAGACTCTTCTTTCTTTTGGGGAGAAGAGTATTTTTATATTTAATATCAACTCTGTTGGCACAAAAAAGTAAAAGAAAATAAAAGTTCTGGATGGTGAGGAAAAGAAGCAAGCCGAAAAGAACAAATGGGCACTTTAAAGGGAAAAATCGTTTCATATTTAATAGTTTATGAAACATAATAAAAATGTAATATAGTAGGGATAAGAATGCTTCTAATTACTGTGTGCTCACCACAGGTCAAACTTGAAAAGCAAGAGCATCCAATGTAACCAGTTAATGTGTTTTCTACTGAAAAAATCCTAAACAACTGAATGAATATCAACAAGATTAAGCCATCATTGTTATGACTTTCATAAATAATTACAGTAGGGTGAATAGTTAACCAGGAATGGAGGGCGGGACATGAGTAGATTTAATAGGAGGATCCATCCTCCATCCCTGGCTCCACAGGAGTCCAGCTTAAGTTTAGGGTCCGTAAAAGAAAATTAAGTAAACAGAATAAAGAAAAATGAATTCTCTATCTAAAAAGCACTTACAGAAGCTAAACGGCATTCAACGACCCTATTGTTATAATTTTTAGCCGCAGTGACAGCTTTTTGAGACTCTGCCAAAGAATGGGCTATAACAAAAGTCCCACCAGCTGGAAGTTGCAAGTCTGTTGCCCGAAGAGGGTTGAAATCAATAAGCTCTGCAAATCCAATTTTGGCCATGACAGAGATTGCCTGTCAACCAGAGCATCACAAGAGCAAGGGCAATAGACCATGGAGTCATACCTACGCTATTCAATTAGATAATGCCACATGTATAATGTAAAATCTTGCAATACCAACCTATGGAAGTTTATTGAAAGAAGAATACTGTAACAGAATTCCACCACTATTTAATGCTATACCATTATTTTTAAATTGATGCCTCAAACTCACTGACTTACCAGTATTCAACTATAAAATCATGGGTTTTTTTTTCCCTTTTTCCTTTCTTTTTTTTTTCTTTTTTTTGGGGGGGGGGGGGGGGAAGGGGGTTGTTGGGGCTCACTATCACTTCTCAATTCCTACTTGAATTCCAATAGGCATTCTTAGCCCATGATCCACAACAGAGACGCTCCATTACTCCAATCCAATCTAAAGTAACTTCTCCTATCATCTGATTAGCAAGACCATGCTTGGACAGCTTATTGATATACATTTGGACTAAAATTTCAAAAGGACATAGCTCTAAGGAATGACGTGTACTACCTGATCCATCCCCCCAGATTGTGTTCCCACATGTCTTTCACATTCACATGAAACTTGCGCAATTTGTTTCTGTCAAGAAAGGCAAAATAGGTAAATTTGAACGACAAATCAAAAGCTTTTCATCGAAAAAGGGCGCTTTTAAGGAAACCCTGTGCAGATTTGTTGAAGTAAATGGTAATTAAAAATAAAAAATTATGCTACATCAAATTGTAAAAATCCTGTTCATTCCAGTATCAAGAAAGTATACTTGTCCTTCAAAAGATCACCACATGAAAATTCATCATGAAGAAAGGCTTAAAAACCAATTTCAATTTTCTCATATAGATCAGAATGGGGACTAGATCTTCTCATGAGCAGCGTATGGATTTGCAGTCATACTATTATATCAGTGATCTGAAACATTACTATAAAATATTTCAGTCATTCAGTCAGCAATGTTTTGAACATTATTTTCATTCAACTGATTTGCGGGTGATTTGAAAATTAAGCTTCGTCAAACTACAAACTTGAATTTGGAAATATATTTCAAGATAGTAATGCATGAACTACCTTCGGAAAGTTAACACCAAATGCAGTCATAATAGCAATCAAGGAGGAACAAACAAGTGCTGAAGAGCTTGATAGTCCAGAACCTGAAAAGAAGAAATCTTGCTCATTAAACTTAACCCTCTCATCAAAATGTAATAACCCACCGTGGAAAATCAACTGTTAAGTTCACTTAGAGGCAAATTTGGCTGCCTGTCCTCTCAGCAGCATGAAGGGAACAAACCAGTTGGAACTATTCCATCAACAAGGACATCAAGCCCAATGGGCTGACCAACATCCACTCCTTTGAGTTTTGCATGATCATAATAACCTTTGTACCTACAGAAAAAATACTTTGAGTTATTTTTTAATGGAAGAAGAAAATTTACTGATGAGAAGAGAGAAACAGGGCAAAAACAGAGGACAAGATATCCTAAATATGAAATTTAAACAATAATGAAGCAGTGCTCCCTCTGTTAAAAATCACATGGAATAAAAGAAAATGACTAATACCTATGCATAAGCTTCCTCCAGCTTTGCTGATTAGACCATTTTGCATTTGAACGCATAGATAGGTAAATATATCGTTTACATTATCAGACCTACGGCTAGGCATTATCTTGAGTCTTGACAGTATTTAGCAGGGTTCATTCAGGAAAACTAAGCACATAACTTTCCATCTAAAGTTAAATAGCATATTAAAATTTTTAAAGTTATCTAGCGAAGGTTGATGAATAATTTTATTACAATCTTTAACATGTCTTTTCGCATAAAATACACGAGCCCACTACACAATATGTGGAAACTTCATTGTAAGCTAAGGCCAATGATTATGAGTAGACAAACAACAGAAAATTGCAAGAGAAACGTAGATTCTTCGGACTCACCCACAAATAAAATAATGGCCCCATTTGTGATTCCTCAAGTCGAGTTCCTGCATATGAAATTGATTGTGCCTCAAATTTTGAAAGTCAGAACATTCTTAATGTCAAAACAAATCATAATGGCAATGGTGGCAGAATACAAACAATTTAAGCTACCACATGTAAATTTAGCCTGTAAAATCAATATTAAGTTATAAAGCCAAAATTTCATAGAAGAAAGTGGGGGAAAATCTAACTTTAACACAAGAAGTTCAAAGGTCCACCTGGTTAGGATCAGCAGGATAAGTGCAAGTAGTGTATTTCTCATCATTTACATTAGCAACCCTAATGATCCTTTCGTCCTCATTTATCCGTATGGCCACAATTGTATCTTGCCGAATTGCCATGGGCAACACCGAATATCCCTCATAATCAATGTGCTCCCCGATCAAGTTCACTCTCCCTGAAACGCAAAGACACGTCTTAATTTCCATCTTCCATAACCAAAATTGCTACCCAACGCACCACTCCCACAACGATCATATAAATCCGCCCACGTGCTCAATTTTCCGAAGTTCCTTACAGTTCAAACAGACCCTAATAGTTACATGAGAACGAGGAAAAGAGAAAGAAGGATGACCTGGTGATCGAGCACAGACTTCAGGAGGGTGGCCGAAAATAGTGAGAAACTTGGACTTCAAATTGTCAAAACGAATCCGAGCTTCTTCAAGCTGAGATCCTTCGCCGTAGACAGGCTCCAATGTATCGTAAACCGGGACCGGAAGCTCTTCGTGATTCGTCATTTTGTTACTCTGATTTCTTCGGACGGATTTTGCAACTCGACCGAGTTTCTATACACTTGCTATCGACAAGCTTTTGCCCGCGAATAATGACGTCAGTCACTCTAAGCACTTTTGTCTTTATCAAGTGATCCTCGAAACGCTACCATAATCAAAAGCGCAGACAATTTCCTCTCTGATGCGAAAACGCATTTTTAAATCTATCACAGCTTACATGGCAAAGTGAGTCCATTCAAACTATCATTAGTTACATGTAGATAACAACAAATCATCAATTCCCTTAACCAGTAACCAGATAAAAGCTCTTACCAGTTAAGACTCTACATTCCAATCAGGATTGGAACGATGAAAACTGATCAGATACCAAATCTTCTCCCTGGTTTTCATTTTCAATAACCAGAGAGATTGATTGGACGGGCATAAGGTGACAAATGAGACCTTCAAATGTGTTCTCATCACAGCTCTTGCAACTAGAGCGTGCTATTTTCAACAACAGGACATTGTAGCTTTGACGACAAATTTTGTTTCCCCAATCTCAAGATCTTTTCAGAGCAAGGAACTGATTATTTCCATTTAATTCTTGCTCACTCTCGAAACTTCATTTGTTTTCTTCATTTTCAGAACTGAGTTTGCCTTCACTTGTGAGAACATTTTCAGCGCATTGCATGGAGTTGAAGAATAAAAAGCATGTTGCGCAACAGCGACGGGTAACGCAGTTACCACCAATTTAAGAATTTCTTTTTTTCCCCCCCTTATGTTAATTAGGGTCGAACTAACTTTTAAATTTACAATAAATTAATCAAGATAACCTCTACATTGGGACTGAATGCGGACGGGGTTGGTTATCAGAACAAAATAGGCTTCTAAAAATTATTGTCAGTTTTTGGTATAATCATTCCCCGATTTATTTTCATAAAAAACTCCAAATAATCATCTAAATGACCAAAAGAATAAAAATTTAGATAACAAGTCTAAATGCTGACCAGCAAATTTAAGCAGTTACCACCTCCAATAGTTAACATAAAAATTAGATAATTAATTTTAAAAAATAAAAAAATTAATCTACTTAATTATTTATAATAAATATTTGTAAACTTTTTAAAACTATCTTATTGAATAAAAACCCATGATGGGAATCCTTGCAATCAATAGGAATGATTGGACAAAAATTATAAACTCAGATGACAAAGTGAATTTAAACTTTTATATTTAGGATCAGAGATAATATTTTTTTTTTTCATAATTGAGGCGTGAAAATGTGACCACGCACTTAACTGGCCTATTTTATTGAATACTCAATTTTTCTCTGCTGTAATTAATTTTGTGACCAGAGAAAATTTGAAATAAACTATATGCTAGTGTTACTCAGAATAAGTTTTTCATTTCTGCCTTGTTTCAGTACGGTGGCAGTCTCCAGGCCAAATGCTTGGTTATCACAAGACAAGAGGAACCCCTCCACAAAATATCCCTCATATCTGTCAAAGCATAAGAAACTGGTCGTTGCAGATGACAGTCATAGCATCAATGAAAAGCACTAAGTTTGATCAAAATTGGACGCAATAATCATCCAAGAAACCGAACAGGATCGATGGAGAACCTGGAAATATAAAGTTGACACCATATAGAATGTCTGGTTGTCTAGTTAGCCGTCAAAATCCTATACAAGATTTGGTACTGATGGATTCTTTCTGGTAATAATTTATAATAGTCAAATCAGAACTCAGAAGGAGAACCTAGCAACTTCCTCGTCTTCATCCTCATCTATAACATCATCTTCTTCAGTATATCTCTCCATATCATCATCAATTTCCTCATTATCTTCCTCCTCTAACTCATCTTCCTCATCCATCAAGCTTTTACTTCTTGTTTCCTTTCCCTTTAAACCAGTGCTCAAGACTACAGTTTGTCCACCAGATTTCTCCATATCCCTTCTCAATTTGTCCATGTTTTCCTTCCTGCGCTCTTCCTCCAGGCGCTGTTTCTCTGCTCGCCTTTTATCGAGATCAGCCCTACAAGTTGCAGAGAATACAATACATTTTGTTTAATGATCATGATTATATAAAAACTCAACGGTACTATAGCGGAGGAAACTAATGACAGATTTGTCAAGCTCAGACAATACTTGTAGTTTTCCATGTATTCCTCAGCACTGGCTTCGATGGCCTTGAAGAAGGCGTCAATTCCTGCGCCAGACACTGCAGAAACTCCAACAGACCTTAAATTCTTGTAGAACTCATCTAGCACAAGAGAAAGGCTCTGAGTTAAAGTTGATGTGTAAGAGTGATCTGAACTTATTGCCGCTTGGAATGCCTCAAAATCCTCCATCCACTGCACACATAAATTCAACACAAGCCGTAAACAAATTTTGAGCTTAAGAACTATGCAGCAGCTTTGATAGTCCAAAGGAAGCACAAAGAACCTAGAAATAATATAGGGTACATTTCTGTACTAAAGCCTTAATCAATATTTCTTCCCATTTTTCCTAAATCTAATTTTAGCATTTATTTAGGCCACTTGTACGCTTAGTGAAGCCCGTCCACCGAAATTCAAATCCTAGTAATATCCAACAAGTATACTAAATAAAAGAAGTGAAGAAGTGAAGCAGTGGAGAGATATTCAAAGCTACATGAAACACTTTTACTACAACATCAGGCTAATGTGTGAAAGACAAAATATGGCAAGTGAAATGATGATATAAAAGACAAAACGGTGTCATTTGAGGATTTCACAATTTATTTTGCTTATTTGTTTAAGAATCTATCAGACTTAGTATTCATTTGTTGAGTACTATGGCTTCAACAGTCTAGCTAGGTTTTGAACCACAGACTTTTAGTAGAGAACAGAATCATGAAGGTAATTAAAACTATTAGTGAATCAGAAGATCACAACATAATATTCATCTCCAGACTTGAAGAAACTAATCTTGAAGGTACATGACCCGCATTAAAAGATAAAATTCAAGGTATCATTAGAGATGGGCAATACCTCTAGGGCAAACTGATGCTGCGCTACATCAATCTTGTTGAAGGCCAAGATGAGAGGTAAGCGTGTCTTGTAGAGGATACTACAAGCATAAAGCATGTTGCTCATAAAAGTAGTGGGACTTTCTGATCGAGGCGTATCAACAACATAAGTTACTACAGTGGGAAATGTGGAGGCAAAAGCTTCTGTAATGATAGCACCAGAAGCAGACCAAGTGAATATTTCAATCTGACCAGGGGTGTCCACAAGAACATAATCAAGTTCATCTGCTCGCTTTTCAATTATAGAAACCACCTGAAATTTAGGAGTAGAAACCACCAGTTAAACAAATTAGTGAAACTTAAAAGAGAGGTCCACAAAAAATTCCTTGATGGAATCATGCATCCCTAGGCCTAAAATTTAAGACTATAAGCCCCGTAACAAGTGATAAAAATAACCCATTAAACAATACCAATTCACAATATGTCCTTGCGAGTGAAGGTAAAACTTGAAAGGTAGTGACCATAGAAGACAGAACGAGATATGCTCATTCTGTTGCCCGCAGACATTACCTCATCAAACTTGGTGGCAAACAAGTTAAGTGATGTCAAAATTCCACCATTTGGACCAAGGTTGAACTGCTTCATGACCTCCTTGTACTTAACAGTGTCTCTTATGTCAATGTTGGCACCAAACGGGAGCGTCATGACAGCAGGGTCAAGATTCATCACATAGCCCCTCATGTTCGACAATTGTGTGTGGCAAACCAAACGATGGAGAAACGTTGTTTTCCCACTCCCTAAACACATAAGAAGTTCATCTTGAGTCTTTTAACAAGAAAGGGAAACAAAATATCACAATTCAGGAATTACTAACTCTAACGAGTAAATTAAACCACCTGCCATTCCAACAACTAAGATGATGACCGGCTTCCTTTTGAAATTCACTGATGAATTCCCAGATGACGATCCTTCAATATGCAGTTGCTTCATTGTCTCAGTCAGCTCCATTTTCTCTTTATCCTTTGCCTTCAAAATAAATAACAAAGAAATCACATTAGTTACACCAAAAATTCAAAATCTCTAAGTGAACTCATCCAAAAATAACTGTTAAGGCAATAATTTCCAGACATAGCTAACCCTTTGGGCGTTGTACGCGACAGTGGTACAAAGTCAAAACCCTCTGAAGATATGAACCTCAATAAAGCCATGAATTCAGATTCCACTTCTAATTTCACTCGTTTCATAAAACGAAAAGGATATCTATAAAGAGCAAAAGCAAGTTTCGAGTAAGTACCTGAACACCAGAAGAGTCATCGGAATCCATTTGCATAGGTGCGTCCTCGAGTTTCATATTCTTCAAGTCATTGTTGACATCCATTTTTTGATTGAAAATACCGCGTATTGTCGAGAGAGCAACACTATAAGATGAACTTTCTGACCTCTACGTTCCGAGGCAAAGAGGGTTGACACGGGGTCGTCTTCCTTTCAGCTCTCGTAGGTATCTCAGACTCAAACTCCCTCCCCTAGCAATCCGCATGCCAGGGTTTATGGCCTTGTGTCCCTCAACAGCTGAATAAAACGGCACTGCGTTTTGGATCCAGGTCCCCAAGCTTGCACTGTAAAACGTCAATAGTTTCCTGGTGTAGAAACCAGTCCCCAGGTCATCTGATGCGGCCTTAACGGAGTGAAAATTATGCTTACATGGCAAACGTTTATCTAGGGTGCTTGGGTGAAACTGTAACCGAAGGTGATTTTTTTTAAGTAGTAAGGCTTTTAAAAGGCAAAGTAGTGTTAAAATTAAAGAGGATTGCCTACAAGCTTAGTAAAAAATTTTAAAAAATATAGAGAATTGCTCTAGAATTATAACTCCTAACAAGAGATAAAAAGAAAAATTTATCCTTCCAAACTGAATCTGCAGGAGGAGGAGGTTTAGGTGTAACCACGGCGAACTCTTTTTGTACCCAGCTCATAGTTAATAATTGAAGTTATTGATCCACAAATACACCAGATCTTTTAATCCATAGAAGGGCTTAAGCATAGCTTGAGAAAAATATGACCCTTGTAATTTATGATTTTCCATAGAAATTCCTGGAATGATAATCCATTATAGCATATAATTCAATGACAGTCCTCTGTCTAGGCTAACTAAGAGAGAGGGAATGCGTTGTGTCTCCTTGATAGTAGCTATCAAAGATATTGTATAATTACTCAGACGTAGCTCGCTTCTTTTTGGGTGTGAAGCAGTGTCAAACCAAAATACCCAACAAGCATTAGCTCTCCCTGAAAAGGAAATGATCCAGCCGCACCTTCCAGTACGGCTATCTTGTTACGACTTCACTCCAGTCACTAGCCCTGCCTTCGGCATCCCCGTATAACTATTATTAGTTACTACGTCGGGTCCTTAATATGCATAGGACAAAAAACGAACCAAATCGGTCAGTTCAACCTGTGAACCGATCAATGATCTGGTTCGGGTTGGATATTAAACTGAGATGAAGTTAAACTAGTAGCAAACCAATCAAAACCGATGTGAACTGATAATAAACCAGTTTGGATTATTAGGTTGTTATTGGTCCTATTTTTTTTTTATTTAGCTTCTAATATCTCAGTTCCTATAGATTTAAATAAATTTTAATAGTAACTTTGATATCAATGATTATTAATTTTAGTTAATGATAACCCATAAAGATCAAAATTCTCAATATTGTTATACTTTGCTATTGTTACAATCAAATTATTGTTATATTTCTTTATATTTTGTTATTAGTAATTATTAATGTTGTTATATTTCGTTATTTTCAATTAAATTATATTATTTTAATATGACCAGTTGGATCCTGAGTTGACCCGGTCCTACCAACTGACCCTTGAACTACTACTTCAACCGGTTTAGTGTTCGATTTGGTTTTTTATTCCTTATTAATATGAGACTTAGTTAATTAATTTGAGAAGATTAAGAAAATGAGTTAAGTTAGTTATTTGTAGTAAATAAATATTGTTATTGTCTTCTCTAAAATACTATTATTAATCATATGTATTTGAATTATCTATTGATAGTAACTCTTTAACATATGCAACTATAATAGGATTACTTGATGGCAAAGTAGATAAATATGAGAGATTATGGACTAGCTCTTATATTTATGATCAAATTAAATATTAAACTAACTCTTATATCAAAAATAAGATAGAGTATTTGCTAAAAGTTTATGGCTCAATTGGCAACCCTTCGTATTGTTATATACAAGTGGGTGTGTGAGTGTGAAGGGTGTGTATTGTTTGCACACAAAAATAAAAAACTATTATTATTTTTTATATTTGTTTTTTTTAAATTTTTAAAAGTTGAAAGGCATTTAACACCCTAAAATTTGTACTTATTGAGAGCTACTTAATATAAATAATTATAAACATTTTTACGTAAATTAAGATAAAACCTTCGTACATGTTTAGCTCATGTTTCATGAATTATATTAAAAAAAAACCATTTTTGAATGCTTTAATTGCGATCCCAAATAAGTCAAGATGGTGGACTTATCTTACGTGTAAAAACCTGCATTCTTTTCTTTTAAGTAAAATGTTGAATCCCATTAATTGAAAAGAGAATTACAAAACAAACAAGAAGTCAAGAACCAAACTTCCCCATGTTACCTTCCGCCTCTTGACAATTTTTTCTCTAAAATGAAAGTATTAATAAAAAAATTTAATAAATTATGGTCCAGAGCAAAAGATTATTGTTTTGTTCTAAAAAGATTATGACAATACTCTTAAAATTTTCTTATATTCATTTACAGATTCTGATAAATTATGCTGCTTTAATGCTTCCATTCTTGACAGCTTGTCAATAATCGCAAATCAAGGGATGCTGAACATAACTTCATCCGTTCGATGTACATTGATTGCGTATTAAATTAATTAAACATTATTTTTTTATTAAAAATTTCACTTGATAAAATGGAAAAAATTTATTTTTTAAAATATTTTAATAATAATTTGATAAAATTTAAATGTTTCAAAAAATCATCTTCCAAACAAAATTATGCTATTATACATGACTTTTTGAATAAAATTATTTTATGATAGTACTAGGTAGACAACAATAATCTTTCCTTTTTATCAACAAAAAAGAACAATTCAGATTTTTTTTGAAAAAAATTATTTACAGTAAAATCCGATAAACTCCTACCCATTAATTGCGTTAATCAATTAGATTCCTGAGCAAGGCATCAACGAGACAGCACAAACACGAACTATCATTGGTTCCCTATCGTCCACACCGTGCAGGCGTCCACACTATATCAGAGCTCAAATTCTTAGCGGGGAAGACTCACGATCACCCCTACTACGGCTTCTCTGGCAGCACAAAATGTGAAAATGGCACTCCGAAACGTGTAAAGCAAAACCGTTTGCATTTTCCGTACTCTCTCCCACGCGGCGACGAAAATGGCGATCACGATCTGCGACCTTCCTTCTCCCCCCAGTCACCGCCGCTTCCACGTCGACCTTGACGAAACTTATATTTCCGTCACTGTTACTGCCAGGGCCGCCGTTGTCCGACGCTGGATCAACACCACCAACTACCTTTATCGACCCTACCTCGGCAGACTCATCGTCGGTCTCGGCGTTCAGTGGACTCCCGGAGACGGAGATGCACCAGCAGATACATTGCAACTCTGCGTGGGATGCCGGTGCCTTGTGTACCAGCTGAGTCACTCACCCTATGTGCCGAGCAAGCTCCGGCAATTCCTCATGGACCCTTGCAATACCTTTGTTGGCTTCTGGAACCATTCGGATCGGTTGAAGCTCGCGATTTCGAAGCATAGGCTGAACATGCTAAGGAATCCTCTGGATATAAGGGAGTACGTGGTAACAGACGACGGTGAGAGCCTCCAGGGGGCTTCGGTCGAGGAGATTGTTCGAGAATACCTTGGGATTGATGGAGTGAGAATGAGAAAAGAGATCAGTATGAGCGACTGGGGCGATGAGTCTCTCAGCGATGAGCAGGTTCTGCAGGTGACTCTCGATGCTCACTGTGCGTTTGAGATCGGGAAGAACATTAGGGCTTGGAGATTCACTTAGGTCAGTCCTAAAAATATACCTCTGTTTCTAGATTTCGTCTCTGTTTTCCCAGAAGCTTTAGCATTTTCACAGTTCAAGTATGTCTTTGATCAGTAGATGAATGTGCTTGAGCAAGTTTTAATGGTGATAGACTGATGTAGTTTGCTTAACGGAGAATTCTTCTTCGGTAATTACCTAGTCTTTTTGGGACCATTTATGGCGATTTGACAGCAAAGAGAGGTTATCGTGGCTGCTTGTTATTTGATTTGTGTCATTTCCATTTCAAAAAAGCCCCTCCTTTCTGAGCCAAACGAAAAAAGATTTGAGAGAAAGGAATTATAGGCGAATTAATGGGAAGAAACCCGCTGCGTCTGCTTTCTGAACAAAGACCAAGAAACAAGAAAGACTAACTGGCCGCTTTCATTTCCTTTGCTCGTCCTTCTCATCAATTCATTTTATTCTGATTTTCATGCTGTTAGAAAAAATTATTCTTAGAAAAACAAATTCTTCTGTATATTTATTTCAGGAAAAATATTTTTAAAATTATGATTTTCATTCTATCCACACATTTTTAACTGAGAATTATTTATCATTCTACTGTACTGTAGTTTTTCCTCATATATTTGTAACGTGAACATGACGAGTGTTTGGATGAAAACTCCGCTATAAATATCTAATAAGACTTTTGTCTCGAAAAACAGTTTTTAAAAGTGTTTTTGAAACATCCAAATAACCCGTGATTCTTATAAAAAGGAATTACATAACTTATAAGTAAAGAGTTAAGGTGCAGAAACATTTTTTTGGGTCATTTAGTACCCAACGTATATTTTTGTATACATATAACATCTTAAAATATATTTTTTTTGTGTCCAACACCTAAAATATTTTTCTTGCATTCAGTGCTGGATATACTACAAAATAATTCAGCTCAAAGTATTTTAAGATGTTAAATGTATGTGAAAAAATATTTTGAGTTGCTGGATGAGTGGATGTACCGATTCCAAGCATTATATAAAGATCTTAAAAACGAGTAACGTGTTTTTATGAGTTATGATTAATCTGATTTGTTAAATATTTTATACTATGAATATATAAACAATGTTAATATTAATGATATTAATATAATTAAAAAAGTTATGGTCAAAAAATATAATTAAAAAAGACTCCTTCCAGTCCAAAATATTTTTTTTTGAGGCTTTTATTTGCAAGGACAAGGCCATTTAATATTTTAATAATAATAAAATGTAAAATAATTCAAAAACAATTAATATTTTATTTAAATACTGTTTTCAAGTTTTTTATCATAAACTTCAAATAACTAATTCGCAGGTAATAAACAATTAGTTAAAAATAATAAATAGGTTAAAAATATATTTTTATTTTCAAATATGCGTTTATAATAAATGAGAAAAAGATAAAAGAAAATTTGTAAAAAAATGTGATGAGAGAGAAATAATTAAAGATAATATTAAAAAAAATATTAAATGTTAAAACAAACACAAGGTAAAGCTTATAAAATGGATCATGTCTCTTTTTAAATTTAAAACATATAAATATAACAGGATCGGATGGAGTAAAATTATAATTATTTTAAAATAAAATGATAGCTATAAAATAGCAAGTTTTTATTGTCACGTTACGTTGCATGTCTACTGGTTATTTTATTCCTTTATTGGTATCTTGGAGTCTTGGCTCTAAAACTTTTCTTTCTTTCTTTTGGGTGAAGAGCTTGATAAAACTTTCTCTGCATATACATTACAAAGAGGGAGGATGATATATACCCAATATATAATACAAGGAATACAATCAGGCCTTAGCAATATATGAGGCCATACTGGCAAAAAGAAAAGCTCAAAAATACAGACTAGAGAAGCGATAGGAGGCTTAAGGCTTTCTATTCACTCACGCAGCGAGGAGAAACTTTTGGAGAAAACCACATTTGGTTTCCTATGTGAAACTACTTCTAGTTTTTAATATAAAAATTAATTTGACTTTTAATTGTAACAATAACAAAGTATAATAATATTAAGAATTTTGATCTTTACAATTTATCAATAATTAAAATTATAACTATTAATACCAAAATTATCATCAAAATTCATTCAATCTATAGTGATTAGGATATTGAACTGAACGAGAAAAAATAGGATCAATAGCAACATAATTATTTAAACCGGTGCATTACTGGTTTACATCAGTTTTTACCGGTTTTTACAAGTTTACACCGGTTTTGCGGGTTCGATACCAGTTTAACTCCTCACTGGTTTAATGTATAAAATCAAATCAGACTACTGACCGGTTCACCGATTTTCCGGTTGAACTAGTTGGTTCGGTCTGGTTTTTCTTTTCTTGTTGGCTTTTTTGGTCATGCATTTTCTAGGGTAGTTCCTCTAATAGTTTTATATCTTCCATTCTTGAGCCAAACTATATCCTCCATGTAGGAGTAAATTAAACGTATACAAAAGTTATACGAGGGAATCAAAATCAGATCGAAACATGAGAAATAGATCCAACCATGTATAAACAAACCGGGTGGAGAGAAGGTGGTGTTCTTCTTACCTTGATAGGCTTCATTGAGAAAGAAAAAACATGCAAAGCCATGAAAAGAAAAAAAAAAAAAAGGCAAATGGCAAATGGCATGCTTGAGATTTTCTTCCTTTTGACAATATGGTATCTTAGGTCGGTCCCATTCCAATTTAAGAATTTTCAGCGAGGCTCAAGCTAATTCTGATTGAGTTATCTTGAGAGAATCACAAAGGACAGCAAAATTCCCCCGCTAAATACTTAACGTGTAACAAATGTTGATGAAGGAAAAAAAATGTACAAGACTATAAGAATTTAGGGATCTTATACCTATCTTTTTAGATGGGCAGAGGATCGGATCCCTTTATTTATAACTGTAAATACAACTACTAAGCCAATAACTGTATATCGCTCAATATGAGTTATTTGTAACACATTCTCATGTATCAAAAAATGCATTAAATTAACAACATTTTCTAATTTTACTCTTACTAAAGTTCTATTTCTACTTCTCTTTACATTTACAAATCATTTTCATCTCTCTATTTTCTTTCTTACTTTTCAATAAGATTTAAATAATGATAAAATTGAAAAACAAATATTAAATCTACTACAAGTAACTTATATTTAGAATTGGAATGATATATTATTAAGGACGTCTTACTTCGTCAATTATGATATTTTGAAGAGGGTACTCCAAACCAAAGTTTTAAAGATGGGAACATAAAAAATCGATCTCTTCAATAATACACTCAAATAACACATGCACCTTCTTGAATTGATCTCTGGAGCTACTTCAAAATTTAAACTAAGGCTTATCATTGTGGGCAATGTAATGGGTTCCAAAGTTGAGATTTTGAAACTCACCATATTTAAGTTTATCAAAGTAAATTGAAATAAAAGTCAGTTTTATCACCGCTAATCCAAACATATCCTAAATGCTTCTAATGCCTAATGCAAAACACAAAGCATATGTTTGGATTGGCGTTACAATTGACAAACGTGCCTTGGGCAATATGAAAAGTGTTGGAAATTGTGCCCTAGGGGTCAATTATTGTGTTATGAACATTGTTAATTTATGAATTTATTAATTATGTTATCATATTATTTGCATGTTTACTGTGATGACTATCCTTGGATAACTCATGATTTATCCTAAATGTTCCTAGTCGGTCATCTATGTGGGAGTAGAGATGAAATAAGACCAGTATGACTTTAAAGATATATAGAGATATAAATTAAAGTCATAAGTACATGTAAGAGTACAAGGTGTTGGACCGACCTGCTATAAGAGAATTGCATGGGTTAAGTCATAAGCTTCTCTCATATACAAACCATGTCACTGTGTCCTTTGACCTGAGATCATCATGGATTCCTACATGAGAAACGCTCAGTTTTGACCTAGTCAAAAGTCACTTTTGACTGAGTGATCATAAAGACTATGTTCAGGCTTAGTGGTTTTTCATGCGGAGGAATGTGAATGGTCAAGATGGAATTTGTCCCTCACATTCGTAGAGAGATATTACTGGGCCCCTCGATGAGTGAGTTTGAAAAATGTATGGCCATACTATAATATAAAGGTAGTTCCGTTTCTATACTCAGACTATTCAGGGATTGAGAAAGTAACGGTCACGAATAGAAGGATGACGTTCTCCATGCCTCATCCATGACCAAAATGTCGTGTGACAAAAGGGACGTGATATGGTTGTATGAAAGGTTACATCGTTCAATGATCCTCATATGATTTGGATAGTCGTGATGTCTTGCTAGAGACCGCTTACGACTTGTGAGTCATTATAGTTAATGGCCCACTGCCAACTTCATATGGGCCTACAGGGTCGCACACAAAATAGCCCAACACGAGTTATGATGTCTAAATTCATTGAATCTAAGATATGTTCATATTCAATGAATAATATAAGGTGGACGTGTATATATATATATATATATATAAATTTCTATATTATTCAAATTGTATGCTTTCTACTTCTGTTTTATGAATGCTATAGTTAATGGCTTGATGTTTTTTTTGTAAGAAGAAAAGTTACCTAATAAAATTTAATTATTTTAATTTATTATTTTTCTTGAATTTATCAAATTGTATATATACGATATATAACTTTCACTCTTTAATATAAAACCTTAGTGGGCTAATTTGAAAAGATTAAAGAAGCTAAATAAATTATTTAATTATTACTTATGTTACATAATCTCGCTAAAATACTTACGTGTATTATAAAGTTCATGCTCTTTTCAGTCATTTTACTTCTAAATTTACTTTTCTATTAATCATCCAAACAAGTGTCAATTTTTTCAACTGACTTTTTACAAATTAAACACCAATTCAAACATAAATCACATTATACTTTAACTTAAGTTTGCAAATGTTGATTGGAATAAAAGTCAGTTTTGTCACGGTTAATCCAAACATATCCTAAACATGTGAGAGGAGTTTAATCTCAACTTGTGTGAATCCGGAGAAACCAAACACCTTTTAGTTTGCACACCTAAACACAGTCTTACAAACTCAGTTCCTAGTTCTTACTATACCACTGTTTAGCTGCTTTTGTGCTGAATTGTTTTGCTCCTCAAACTTAGAAGTCTCCTAATTCAAATAACAGCTTGTTTTCACGAAACTGGATTTTTCAAATAAAGTTTTCCTGCTGGCAACAAAAAGAAAAACTTAAGTTTACCTTGTATCAGGTTCTATAATGGTTAATTGAATTGACATTTTATGCGGATTTTGGAACCAGTGCAAAAATATGTGGTTCGGTTATATACCAATTATAAAGATAACATGCATAGAAAGTATGCTTTCTACTTCTGTTTTAGCTACAATCTACATGCAAAAAAATTGATATTTTTAAGAGAGTTAAATAGCTTCCAACATTTCGAAATTTTTTTTAGTAGTATCCATTATACTAGACTGGATTTTTGTGTACCAAGTGTTCTAAATACTTTAAGAACAAAATTACTTTAAAATTCTGAATGATGCCAAAAAAAATATTTGAGGATGGTGAATATAACTTAACATTTTTTGCTAACAACTTAACCCTTTTGAAAAAATAAAATAAAATAACCTCCAATTTAAAAAATTGCTTCTATATTTGTCATGATTTTATAAATTCTATTAAATCTTAAGCCGTCCTCTAAGTGGCCAATCTTTACTCTCTCTCTCTCTTCCCCCCAGACGACAAGCATGAGGGAGGCAGTTCGAACACAAGCTGAGGCGAGAGAGAGAGAGAGAGTCTGGACTTTGAATTGGAAATTTTAGATTAGGAAGGACAGTAATGCTATTTTATAATTACAATACAATACTCTAAAGTATTTTAAAACTTACTATTAATTTTGACATTCTTTGGGACTAGATAAATAAATTCTGCTCTTTAGGACTTGCGTGTAATTTTATTTAAATCTTAAGTCGTCCTCTAAGTGGTCTATTATTATTATTCTTCTGATTTTAAATATAAGATATTTATATTAGTATGTATAAAAATTTTATATTTAGTACACGAGGAATATTATTTTTTGAGCAAAGGAGAGGCAAGCTAAGCTTGAAGCAAACGAAAACACTAGGAAGGGACTGGATTAGTCAATCTTTACTTTTGTCTGCATGCGGGTGCATTTTTGTTGGTCAATGATTCAATGTTACGAATAGTCCAAATTGCCCCTACTTTAATAGAATGACGTCGTTTTATTTGCCATGGCATAAAGGCGCGGTTAATGAAAGACTTGGAAAGAACCCGAGTCTTCCCCGAATGCATAATTCATCGCCGGAGCCCATTGAACGACAGCAAAGAAGCGTTAAACGACATCAAACTCGAGTAACAAATCCAGCATCCGCAGTTTTTCTTTGCTCGTCGCTGTCGGAAGCGGACGAACACTTGAATAAAAGCTCCGGTTTTTCGTTCTTGTTGCGAATACTAGCATTCCGTTCCCTCGAATTGACTAAGAAGTCAGAACTTGCTCAGTTTATTCAGTTCTCTGCTTTATTTTCTGAAAAATAAATTTTTAGGGTTAGGGATTCACTCTGTACGCCAAGCTGGATAGGCACAGAGGAGACCGCTATGGCAACACCAACCACGATTCTCACCCGTATCGTCACTCCAGAGCTCCGTCCCGCTTCTCGGACGCTCCCTTCAACAACCGCGGCGGTGGAGCCTCTCACCACCGGCAGTTTGACAGCCCACCCCGTCGCTCTCCTGGAAGAGGTGCAGGGTTCCGATCACCGGGTTTTGGCGGCAGCGATGGGTTTAGGCCAGTGAGTGGTGAGGGTCCTGGAGGGTTTGGGTTTAACGGTCGTCAGGGGCAGCCTCTGTCGGGTCAGAAACGAGGGTTTCCCTTCTCTGGACGTGGAGGGTCGCCAGGTGAGTGTAACTCGTGTTTGCTTCCTGTTAAAATGTTGCATTGAATTGTAATTTTGAATGGGGTGATTTTTCAAGCCGGCTAGTTTGACCCCGGCAATGTGAGATTGTAGTTATTATTCGCTTTTTAAAATAACATGCATGCTTACCTGGTCGCTTGAGACTGTGTTTATTATTCACTTCTTGTATGTTCCACAATAGCAGAGCTATTGTGCACCAGAGTTATGGGAACTGCGCTTGTATATTTTGGAGAGATGAGGATAACGTTTGTGTATTTTGGGATGCTTAAGATATGGTTAATGCTTCTGTTAGGAGTGCTTGGATTTTTATTCTTTTTTAGGCTGCAGTTTAGCATGCCTTATATGGCCTCGATTGGCAGCCAGAGAGTCCATGGTGATCTGAGGTGTGGTGGCACTAATTTCCATGTTCAGTTAGTCTATACACCGGAGCAGCAACTTTTAGATAACCTTAACAGAAATTATGTGGAGAATTTTTATCTAGCATGCCTTTTCTATTTTTTCCTTTTTCATACTTCTAAAATAAAAGTTTGTCTGTAACCTTGTTGCCTAATTTGCCCTTCATCCCTTTGAACCCTGTTCCCGATCGTCCTTTCCAAAATGATATATGTTTGCCTGTTGAATGAGGAAAGAACAGAAAAACGGATGAACCAGAGTGCCAGAGTGATTTATGGTTGCAAACCTGGAAAGGATGAAGGGGAGTGTGAGCCCATCCTTTGCAGTCCAAGCCACTCTTTCAGACTGTAGCCTCGAACGCAGGTTTAGAGGAACGCATCAAGGTCAAGCTTGTAATGTCATTGTTTGATTAAAAAGTTTAAATATTAAAATTATTAATTATTGAAATAAATATTATGACAAAAAAGAAACAGGCATGCAGAAAATTTGAATTTATTGAAAGAGATGAACGGGTAAGGAAAGGGAGATGACTTGTGTGTAGGATACAGGATGAATAGGAAACAATGGTTATTACAAAATGTATAAAACATGAGAGAATAATTTGTGATGGAGGTGTAGAGAAAGAAGATTAAATAGGAATGCAAAATCAAAGCATCAATATGTATAATAAAATTCAGAAGTCATACTATTATGAATAATGCAATTCACCTCAAACACCGTACAATGCAGGGGGCCCATCTCTTGTTACAAATGTGAATTAGTTTTTTTTTTTTTTGTAAAACAATTTGTATAAACACCCAGGCTTAACCGAATTTCAGCATCATCGTTTTTTTTCATCATGGTTACCCTCATGGTTCTTTGGTAAAAAAAAGAAAGGAAAAAATAGCATCCCTTGTAGGTTTATATCGTTCTACTGTGACTTGGTATCTGGATCAGTACTGCAGACTGGCAAATCTCGATTTAGGTAACACTAGGGTGTTCCTCTGCAATGGACACCTTAAAATGGATGTTATTCATATTTAGAAATTGTTTATAATGAAAGCAGATTTTCAAGATGTGGGATAAACATGCCATGTAAAAATCTAAGTTTTTCTTAAATCTCAGTGGTTTTGTTTTGTTACTTGTATGTGTTGCTGGAGCATATTTGCATTTTGAATCTGTTGCTCTTCGTCAGTTTTTTTGGGGTGCTTGTTTTCAGTAGCATGGAATAGATTGCTTGGTCCATTTCTTGTTGTATATATAACCTCTCCTCTAGCACATTATGAAACAGAAATGACTGACATTTTCCCCTTTAATTTTAAGACCGTTTTGGGGGGGAAAGTTTTGCCAAACTTTTTGTTGGATCTGTTCCACGGACAGCAACTGAAGAAGATGTAAGTCATTTAACCTTCTCATCTTTTTCCTTTTTGGTTTGGGTTGGGATTTTGGAGAGTTTGATTTTGAAACTATTAAATAAGCTTTCCAGTATTCTATAGTTTTCAGATAATTTTTTTAAGGGTTTGAAAGGATGCCTGTTCTCTTGCCAACAGCACTTGTTCTCATTTTGCCCGATTTTTGTGACTAAAAGTTATCTTGTTACAATTATTTTTGATCAGATTCGGCCTTTGTTCGAGCAACATGGGAATGTGGTTGAGGTTGCTCTGATCAAGGATAGAAAGACAGGACAGCAGCAAGGTATTTATGTTTTTTTTTTTTTTTTAAATTTTAATTCAGTGACTTTTTTCAGTATGATTTCTTGCTTGGGCCATTGGGTCATTGGTCCAATAGGTAGGAGGTTAAACTGAAAACTAAACGACAGAGTCAGTTTTGGCGTGTTATATACTGATTTGGGCCTGTTGATTCCGTATTGACTGGTTTTAGATCATTTTAGTTTGGTAATGAACATCCCACCTACCTTTGCTATATGTATAATTTGAAATGTGAGCCATTCATGACAGATTGATGGATAGAGCACGGGTAGTCTGGCATAGTTTAAATTTGAAAATTTTACAAAATGGGTCCAATGAGTTGGGTCAGCAAAAAACCGGTTGGGTCAACCAGTTATGCCAGTCTAACTCTCCAGACTGGAGCCTCTGAAGCCTCTGAGCTCGTGTTGCTAGTTCCATGTATTGAACTGTTTGTTGTAGTCCCGGGCCAAATACTTGGCCACTGCCTTTTTGGTCCTTATCCTGTCGTCTCAGAAGGAGCATGAGATATACGCTTGCTGTAAACCACTAATTGTGCAGTAGATTCAATTTCGGAGGGCTAGCATATCTTGTTCTTGCAACTTTAGCTGCATACAAGGAACAAATTCCCAACTATCGTTTATAAGAGGCAGTTGAATGTTATACTGTAATTTGTTTACGTCCAAAATGTTTACATTAAATGAACATAGAAACTGCTGATTGTTTCATTTAATCTAATTTAATGAAAAGACGTGGGCTCGAAGTTTAGCTTACCAGATATAGATTTGATTGTTACATTGCAGTAATTGGTGTGTTGTAATTTCACTGTTAAGCTTATGAATGGCGGACTTGATTGTCATGTAATGGGTGGTCATCTATGGTTCTTATTATAAAACCTTGACAAAAATACTCAATTTAATTGTCATGCTTATACAATAAATTTAATGAGCTAATGTCATGCAATCAAAGTTCTGTGACTACACTGTCAGATTGTAAGAAATGCAGCCCTCAAATTTTATTTAATAGCCAGCCATATGGTTGTTTCGATTTGTATTTTCAAGAACGGTTTGGGATTGCTGCAGGTTGCTGTTTCATAAAGTATGCTTCACCTGATGAAGCTGATCAGGCAATTAAAGCATTGCACAATCAACATATTCTTCCCGGAGTGAGCTGTTGTTCTTTGAATCCTAAATATTAAATAGTAGGAGTGCTAGATACTGGTTTTCTCACACATTTTCTTTTTGTTATATTAGGGAGTTGGTCCAATCCAAGTGAGATATGCTGATGGTGAACGAGAACGCCTTGGTAATATTCCTAAGAATTATCGACATGTTGATTTTTAAATTTGAATAATGTCGGATTGTTGCCATTTTTAATCCTAGTAAATTATTTTCAGCTATTTCTTGATTGGAATTCCTCCCTGATAATTATTCACGTTAGTAAGATCTTTGGCCTATATTTCGTAAAAGAACATTGAAGACTTTCCCACTGTTAAATTTGTGTTTCATGTTTACATCTGTTATTCTATCTCTTCAAATTTATTTGTTGAGTAGTAGTTTTACGAAGACTGAAAATTTGTCTCCTTTATGAGTTTCTATGCATTGTATATTGTGTTTAGTATTGTTGGAGACTTTCCCAGTCCCAAATAAAAAAAATCCAACCTCTTTAGTGAAATATTTTTTTTTTCTTGGAATAAATCTGTAACTTCTGCTAATCGGGTAACATATACACACCAATCAAAAGAGAAAAGAAACAAAATAATGAAAACAAGAGACCCAATCATCAACCACCACCACCTTCTAACCATGGAGGTGGCTGATGAAAGATACGGAGATTATCAGTGATCCATGAGCAAATTTAGCCAGGCTGTCAGCATTATTTGTGCAATCTCTGTTTATTTCGGAACTTAGAACAAACAACTTAGTTGAGATGATGCTAGTAATATAAGTTTCATCATTATTTGGTTCGTTAATTGTTTGGGTGTGCATTAGCTTGAGCTTGTTATGAATTTTCTGAGTATTTGTACTGACCAATGTTGCTGTAAATTAATGTTTATTGCAGGTGCAGTTGAATACAAATTATTTGTGGGCTCTCTGAACAAACAGGCTACTGTAAAGGAAGTTGAGGAAGTATGTTAATGCTTAACTTCACATTTCAGACATTCATCCATTCCCATTATGCATATCATATAATGATATAATTATATGATGTATAAGCATTATATAATTATTTTTAGAAAATGTGATCTTTGGCAGTTTGGTCTAAAGTTATTGTGATATGTGACGCCTGATATCTGGAAAGCTTAGAACATGAAACTAAATGATGTCTTTTGCATCAGATTTTCTCAAAATATGGACGGGTAGAAGATGTTTATCTGATGCGTGATGAGAAGAAGCAAAGCCGTGGTATATTCCTTACCCTTGCAAGATTTTTGGTGGAAAATCTATGACTATTTTGTTCTGTAAAATAAGCTGATATTTATAATGTCTGACCACATAGTTGTTAAATCTTGATTCTCTTGTTTTGGTAGGGAAGGGGCATTTTTTGGGTTCCCGCCTTCTAAATGTTATTGGGAAAGTACACATTTATTGATTTGCTTAGTTCTATATGTTACCCTTTCCTCCAAATGATAAGTTAGAGGCTATTTGTTTTTATGTTGCCTTTTCCTTGACTCTGGCTGTGTGTTTAACTCCAATGCTGGATGGCCATATATAATCCTTTTCCTCTTTTGATTGAAGGATGTGGTTTTGTTAAATACTCTCACAGAGATATGGCCCTGGCAGCTATAAATGCACTTAATGGAATTTATACAATGAGAGTAAGAAAAATTATACCTGTTTCTGTTATAACCTCTTTTTTAATAACGTGAAAGCTTTCTGCTTATGACCATGCATCTCTCTGTGCAGGGTTGTGATCAACCTTTAACTGTACGGTTTGCTGATCCTAAGAGACCTCGACAAGGGGATTCAAGGTTTGTAACGTCAAGCGCCTGCTGACATTTAAACTCTTAAGTTCACTAGAATGTTAATGGATTGAACAAAGCATGGGCATTCAGACTTTGATTGAGTGATTGGCTTGTTCAATGATATGTATATAAAATAAAAGTTAAGCAGGGAGTCTGCCTGCCTTTTTATTTAACAAATTGAACTTAAGGTCCATTATAGCCCTACTTATTAAGCAGGACCAGTTCAAATGGCTGCAGGGACTAGAAACGAGCCTAACTTCCTGTGACTTGCAGATTGATCCTTTGCCTTTGCGCAACTATCATTGAGATGTACCCTTAATGCTTGAACGTGATCTGCTATTGGGTTACAATTTTTTTTTTTTGCATTTTTGCTTTTTTTTTTTTTTTGAATGTATGCATAAGCAATTTGTTCTCTTCTTATAATCCTGACTCACATTATGAACGTTTACCCTAAACTCTTGTCTGCATGCATATGAATGTTTATCAATCTGCTTGTACCAAATAATTGATTGAAATTCAGCACTTCTGACTATGTACTTTAATTGTCCTATATATTTTTCCATTGTGATTTTTTTTTTGGTAAGTATGAGGTTTTTGATATTTTGTTGCGGCTTGCAGGAGTCCTGCATTTGGTTCAAGATTTGAAGTACCAGGTCCCAGACATCCAGCATTTGGTCCAAGATTTGAAGCACCGAGTTCTATGTACCTCCTCCTCCCTCCTTTCCTTCCCTTGGTTTCCTGTCTTCTGAATGGTTCGTTAATTGCCTTCTCTTCATGCTTGGGAGTTAGATATTGCTTCATTCTGTATTTATTTTTTCAGACCTCCATTCATTATTAATGATCCCTTGGGTGATCAAGCCTCTGCTCCCACTGCTTGGCGTCCAATGCATCCTTCAAATATGGGGCCATCATCTAACGCTGGTATGCATAACCTGAGGCCTCCATTGCTTCCAAGATCTGGTGACATGGACATGACATTGGCTATGAATGCAGTAAGTATAAATTTGACATTTCCACGAAAGTTTACCTAAAACGAAAAAAAAAAAAAGCTACCATTTTACTTGAAAGACACCTTTATTGTTGTCGTTATTGAAGTTTTAGAATCAAGTGATTCAAGCCACTGTATATTTCTTCTCTTCCTCCTTGTTATATTTATTAATTTATTAATGTTATTTTCTACGATAATGTGGTGTTTGCACCATCCATTTACTAACGTTTAAACAAATTTAGGGTGGCCCTGGGAATGGCTTTGGAGGCCCTTCAAATGGTCCTTTTCAAAGACAGGCTCTGTCATCAATGTCACAACAGGTATATGGAGATTATTGTGGTCTCATTCCATCTTTTCCAGCTTGAAGTAGATTTGTAAATGTCTCATTGCTTTCAGAATTTCAATCAAAACATTCCGCATATTCCACCAGCCAGCCAACAGATGTCGCCACTGCAGAAGCCTATTCAATCACCTCAGGACAAGCCTTCCTCCCTCCAGATGTACCCTCCAGCCCCGATCCCTTACTCACAAACACCACCTTCTCTTGCATCATTTAGGCAGGTTGGCCAACCACAACTTCCTTTTTCTGCTGGTCCTCTTCCTTCACAACAGGTGCATGGTCTAAATGGACACTTTCCAGTTTCTCAGCCTCAAGCTCAGCAGGTTGCTTCACCTGCTGCAGCTGCCCAGGGCCATGCTCCTCTAGATGCCAGCTTGCAAACAAATACAACGTTGACCACTACAAATCAACAGCAACTATCTACCTCTATGCAGCAGCAGCCACTTCAGCCTCAGCAGTCTCCATCCCAGTTGGCGCAAATGTTGTCACAACAAACTCAGACTTTGCAAGCAAGCTTTCATTCATCTCAGAAGGCCTTCTCTCAGCTTCAACAACAACTACAGATGATGCAACCATCTAGTCAAGGTTTAACACTGCAGCAAAATGCAGAATCTATGAAAAAGCAGGTATTTTATACTATAAGTATAGTTAGTTAGTTCATGATGTGGAGGGATACTGTTGTAGATGTTGAACATCTCTGCATATATGAGGTCTCATGAATTGGCAATGAGTTGTCTTGCTTAATTCACTGAGGGCATTGTCTTGTGAGATTTGGTTTAGAAGATGCCCTCCAGGTTTAATGCAAGAAAGATTTCAGTATTGTTTTCATTGATTTTATTCTTTTAATTGTTTACAGCTGGCAGATTGTCAACTTTTCACTATATTGCCTGACTGATTGTAAACCTTTTATTGTGCGTGACTGTTTGTTAATGATGACTAGATGCATCATTTGTGCTTCTCCTGTGTATATAGATAGGACGCATATCCCTTGGGTTTTATGTATTTAATTTTCCTTTTAATAGCATTCTATTGTTCTTCAGTCTCGGTGGACGGGGGCTGCACCAACTGCAGATGTGCCTTCATCCTTATCTGCTTCTGCTGCCCCTCCAATAAGCCAGAACATAACTCCTGCAAAATGTGATTGGACAGAGCATATATCTCCTGAGGGCTTCAAGTACTATCACAATAGTGTTACTGGCGAAAGTCGGGTTGGTATTTATTTGAGTTGCCTTATATTTTTTTTCCTTTCTGGTTAATTTTACTTTCTAACTAAGGTTTTCTTACATGAACCTATAGTGGGAGAAACCCGAAGAGTTGATATTATCTGAACAGCAAAGGCCATCTGTTCAGCAATCTCAAAATCAGTCACAGCCTCCAATATCACCTCAGCAAGTTCCTCAAATCCAGCAATTACAGTCTCAAGGCCAACTCCAAGGACAGGTTCTCCAGCAACAGGTACAAGAGCTTTCTTCGTCTTCCTTAATGTCTGTTTCTGGCATCTAGTGTAGCGTTGAAAGATGATTTATTATGCTGACTTGCCTTCTGCAATTGTAGTACCAGGCATATGCAGTTGCAGGTCATCAAAATGTTCAGGTAACATTCTTTTTCAAATTTGTGCAATGCCCTTTTTCTTTCTGTCTTCTACTTTTCTTGGAGAAGTTTCTAGGACTCTTGTGGCATTTGCTCCCTTGGAAGTAATTTCTAGATTATGTAGTTGTAGGCCATGGCTGATGCTACCGCAGAAGCGGTCAAAGTGGAATTGTTAGTCAGTCATACCTTATTCCCTAGTTGAGTCGATGTCCGATCCTGAGACTTGAGAGACAACAGCTGGAGGTTAATACACTCTCTTGTCCTAAAATATGGGATACTTCTAACTACCTTACTGAAACCATGATGAGGTAGTTAAATCATTAAAATAGCCCACAATTGATATAATTTTATGGGTGTAACCCTATTTAAAAGCATGAATTTTTGTTCTAAAAAATTCTGAGTTGTAAACGATGATGATTTTGCTAAAAAAGATAATTAATGCCTTACTTTTATATGCAAAGTGACTAATATATAGGACCATCAGTTTGTTTTAGAAAGTGACTGACGTATAGGACTGGAAGGAGTATATATGTTGACTCACTTCTTTACTATTGTATAATGTTCAGCACCTCAGTCAATGTATTTATTTTGAGCATAGCCATTAAAATTTCTATCTCCTTATATGCATAGGGAAAACAAGGTGAGGGGGGATTTCTTCATGGTAATATTTTCTCGTGCACATGCTTGAAATTTGGTCTGGTCTCTTAGGAAGTTGGCTTGCACTTGTTTGGAACTGACAGGTCACAACTCCATGTATTGTGCAATCTCTGTTTAGTCTAACCCTTGTTTCCTCAAAAACATCGCAGGGAATGTATTCTATGCAAGAATGGATGTGGAAAGATAAGCCAGCAGGTGCCACTTCTCCCTTATTTCAATATTTATGGTGTTTATGGTCTGCTGCCAATTAGTGGGTTATGGTGCTAAATCTCAGCGTTACTATAAATTTAACTTGGCCATTCTGTTTTTTGACCGATGAACCTTCACAACCTTCATGATGGAGCGAGTCAGATTTACATTTTTTTTCAAAGGCTTATCGTTGTTATAGTTATGAGAGCTCAGATGACGAGGGGAGTTTAGAGTAAGGGTGGATTGTGAATCACCATGCCTATGGATGTGCTTTAAGAGTATTTATTATTGCTTACGTCTCACTTTCTTCCTACTATGTTCTCCAGAAATTCTGGATCTGACATTTATAGTTTCTTGACCTGCAGGGATTTGAAAATGCATGTTAGGTTGAGCTTTGAGGTGGTGCACTGTAAGAGGCTGCAACCTTGAAATGGCTGAGGAACAGAGCCTCTAATCTGATGTTCAGGGTAGGGGTTGTGATGTGACCTCTGAGCAACATGAAACATGTCACAAAAAGAGTCCATTTTGCAGCCACCATTTCCGCCATTTGAGAATTCTATCACTGGCTTAGGACTAGAAAAGCCTGCTGGGGTCATTCTATTTAACAAAATAAAATTCCTCTACAGTCTTTTATGTAACATAGTTTTTCTCCGTAAATTATTATATTATATTATTATATATCTTCAACATGGCTAACATCAAGCCTTTGCTATTCCCAGCCAGCTATATTGCCAAAATAATTCTAGTGAAAGCGGTAAATATTAGTTGCACTATATCGATTAAACCAGCCAACAAGCTATTAATTTATTAAATTTTTATTGGCCTGTTTTATAATTTACTTATTCATCGTGTTCCCTTAAGCCTTACGTTGGCATTCGGCCTTCGGTTCTTCAAGATGGATGCTCCGCCGTTCTCTCTTTCTTGCATCAAGTTTGAAGAATAATTTTGCGAATTCTAGTTCAAATTTAATGTGATTTTATCCCTACGATATGGGTGTCTGGAGATTTTTCTTCCTTCTGTGAACTGAGAAATTTTGTTTGTCAACAACTATGGGTAAATGGCTGTTAAGCTGACGGTGAATTGATTTGGTAAAACAATTAAAATTAAACGGAAGCTCCATTCCACAGCTATCTTCATTCTTCAAATACTCAACCCAGACAAGTTAGGCTCAAATTGGTTAATTAATCAAAACTTAATTCCTTTTTTCTGTTTGCCTATACAGGACATGATTAGATTGTTTGGAACTCAGAATGAAGCAGAAAACCAGAAGACAAGAAGAATCTATTGCCGGAGACTCTTTCTTTGCTCTCATGTTTGCTGGGTCATATGGAAAGGACAAATGTAACAAAATTTATGTCCACCTTAGTGACTCAGAATTATTGAAGATATGAGACTCCAATCTCTCAAGAACCTCCTCCATCCCCAGCCACACCGTCCCTTCAACTAAATGGTACCCTAGTTAGCTAGTTTGTACATTTTTCTGGCCTTTTTTTCCGAACGAAAAAAAAATTAAATAATATTTTCGTTTCAAAAATTAGTTATGTATATTTTCAAGTAAACAAGAATGTATGTATTTGTAAAAATAATGAGTAAGGCATAGCATGGTTGCTAGATGGTTGGGTAATTTCCTAGGTTTGAACCCAATTGCGTGTATAGAAAAGACCTTATTGGGAGAGGTAAAATTCATTTTAGTGATCTGCTCTGGGAGGATTAGTCTCGACTGGGTGATATCCATTGATTTCTAACCAAAAAATTGATTTAAAGAAAAAAAAACACTGTTTTCCCCTTATTTGTTTTGCTTATATGCATTTTAAACTGTATGTGAGTTCAAAAAGATAACCCAATTCTAACTTAGTATTGGTTTATCGTACTGTAATTGTGGAAGAGGTTAAGTAGTCATGTTTACATCTTAAGTAAGGAATAATTTTAAAAAGGTTTCTTTTTCTTGTTTACCATTAGCAAGCAATCTATTTGTTCTTTTTGGAAAATTTATAACTATTCCTATCTGACCAACCCCATCAAGGAGAACCACATCTATTAGGTTTTTTTTTTTTATAATATTATTCGTGACTTTTCAGTTGTAATTGTTGATTTTTGATGCCATAAAAGCCATTAGAAAAGCTTTCAGATTATATATCAATCTTCCTCATACATGACTTCTTTTAGCATCTGCTGAAAGCACTTTTGCCGCCTAGAAAATGAGAAGAATAAGAAAACATCTTTTCTTCTGCCTATTCATGGGGAAAAAGGAACTTATAATTAGTCATTATAAAAATCAATTTAAAATTTATATACACAAGGCAAATTAAATTATACATTACCCTAACATTTTAAAATTTTAGAGTGTAGATAATTTTTCTCATTATAAAATACTGACAACTAATCCCGCTAAAATTTTATATTATTTATGCAAATAACTCTTTTGTTGTTAATTTAATGTAATGTTATTTACAAATGTCTCATTAGTGAAATAAATTATTACTAATTAACGGCAAGAGATTATCTATACAATTTAGCAAATTAAAATACTTCTTTATCAAATTTTAAAAATCAAAGCGGTTATCGTGACAAAATAAAATTGATGAGCTGAGCACCAGAGAAGAGTTGAAAACTTTAGTTAAAATTTGTGGAATGTCAATATTTTAAAAAACAATGAAGATTAAAAACTTATTCTTGATCAAATTAAAATCATCATATAAGTTAAAGCGTAAAAAAGATAATGACATTCTTGAAAATGATTTACAAATATTTTTATTGAATTTTGTAAAGGACGACTGATTGGTAAGATTTTTGTTTTTTGAGTAGTGATCGGTAAGATTTTATAAATAGAATCATAATATAAAGAGTGTATAACTTATTTATAATTTCATATTTTTATTTGATGTTTTTTAATTTGTTCATATTTTATTGATGTTGATGTGCATGATTGACATTGATTTTGTGAAGACACTTTAGAGAGTGTTCCAATGGTAACATATAAATGCATGCTGTTGTCAGCCATATTCTGAAACTTGCAAAGTAAGAAAAGAATAAAGAAGCTGCGTGTTGAAGGAAACCACTCACCTAAGTTCCCACCAATTTTTCATCAACCAAACCTATTAATATTTGATGAAACCTATAAATCATGGCATAATTACAAGGGCTTTTAAAGGAGGATATATTAGCAATTTAGTGATGAAATTAGTTAAAGCACAAAATTCCATCACTAATAAATTATTGATGGTTTTTTTTGTGTGTGACAAAATTAGAAAAATCTATTACTCATAATTCCTTTTATATTCCCCTAGTTGGTGCATGTATTAGATTGCTTAATTTTCATATATTATGTTTTAGATATCGATTTATGCCTTTATTTTAACAATAATTAACATCCCATATTCAAATTATACCATTAGATTGCATATTATCTCTTCATTAACCAAAGTACTATATATATGTATGTGAATTCTCTATTCCACAGATTCTGTGTTTTAATTTGAATATTTTGTTATATATTACAATATTGATGGATAGATAAATAGCGTAAAAAAAGGGATAGATGGCAAAAATAATTTTTAACATGAGGAAAAGATGTGAATTTCAAACTTAAATATATCTCTTGTGTTATTTTCTCGTCAGATATATGGACAGAGATTATTCGATTTAATCATAATTTAGCATAATTTTAGAGGGAAGTGCGTGTTGTGAATTTCATTTGAAATATATAGGTTTGATTATGGTTTAGACTGTCTCATTATTTTGTATCTTCGTATATGATTTTTTTTTTTTTTGAGAAATGAAAGGGTATTTTTTATGCATTATATTTCCTTTGAAATAAAAGATATTAAAATTTGATTCAAAAAATAAAATGGTATAATCAATTAAATTCAATTTAAACAGGAGAAAATTTTAGGTAGAGTTGTTCACAGGTCAAGATGCTACTCAACCAATTAATAATTTGTCCGGATTTTGGTATATATGGTATAAGAAGACAAAAAAAAAACTTGAAAAGATTTAACAATAAAAAATTATTTATTGAAGCTTCTCTTGAAAAATGTTAAAAATAGTGGGATAAGACATAAAAATAGAGGCTTATTTAGTTTCTTGACATAAAAATACAGGCTTATTTAGTTTCTCATTTTGAAAACAATTTTTTGTTTTTTTTTAAATACTTGTTTAATAATTTGTTTTTACTTGGTTGTTTTAAAAACATAAACACAGTAACATGTTTTCAAAAAACTAAAAAAACCAAAACAATTTTGAGATATTTCCTTATTTTTATTTTTATATTATTTTTTAAAAAAAAATTGGAGAAATCTTCTTCTTTTCTTAGTTTTTGCCCACAATATATCACTTTCTGGTCACCCCTTGTTTTTGTATTTTTTGTTTCGAATGTGATTTTTTTTAAAATAACTATCCAAACATATTTTTTTATTCTCAAAACTTATTTTAAAAAAACTATTTTATAAAACTATTTTGAGAACAAGAAAACAAAGAAACATAAAAAGGCAAGCTCATAATATTGTCTCATTAACTAACGGTTCAATTCAAGACACACACAACTGTGTGTTAAGCAGGTGTGAAGTAAGAATCAACAAACACAATATATATCACTTATTAAATAATATATTTTTCTAAAATGTTTGTATAAAGAAAACATGTTTAATTAACCTCCCAATTCCATCTTTATATTCTATGGGATGTGTGGTAGAAAGCATGGGTTAAGAATATCAATCCATGTGACTGGTTATTAACAAGTTCATCGATTATATGATATAGCCTTGTCAGGGACTCATAGCCCATGAATAGGCCATGAGTTTTTTCTCATTACTTATAAGAGGTGTCATTGCCAACAAGTGGATCCCAATCCTAGATCAAAGGATGAACTTGATAGGTACTTTAAAATAAAAAAATAATAATAAAAGAAAAGAACTCTGTTTTGATGGCAATGGATTGTTCTTGTTGAGCAATAGAAGTGCATATCTGTAGAGAATTAAATTGAGTGGATTGGATTTTTGAAGCATTTAGATTAGATTCTGAATTTGTCATGCCCAAGAGAATAATCAACTGGAGTTATTTCCATAAATGACCAAGACATAAAATTTAGAGAGAGAAAAATTATACTCCTCTGATTATTAAGATAAGATCTAAATGTTAATTGATTTTAGTTTAAATATAAGACGATTTTTTTATTTATTATTTTTTTTAAAATCATCTTATTGATACTTTCAACCATAATCAAGTAGAAAGAAAAGGGAGAATATTAAAAAGCTGACTATAGTGTTTTAGGGAAAAATGTTATATTTCTTATAATTAACTAATTTACCTAACTTTTTTAAAACTGGAAGAGTACTATTTATAAATTACTACAAACATTATGATTCTCTTAGAATTTTATGTAATACAAAGGAATACATATATATATAAATTGCTTTTTTTTTTTAATGTGGTTATCTGACTAGGTTATATTATTGAATTCGATACCTTATGCTTAAACAGTGAAGACTCCATATGAACACCTATTGGGATGTGTATTTGTGTATTGCTTTGAAAAAGTACACAAAGGTGAAGGTGATTGGGACATCATTGGAGAAGATACGGAAAATTTAATGGCTGGAAAGTTTAGGAATATGTATACACACACATATATAGGAGACAAGTCACACCTTCCCACTTCTCTCTTATAATTATCATCACTTTAATTATTATAGTGCTCAGAATATTCACCTGCACCTCATCCTGTGGAAAAAACATGAACAAGCTTTCATCCATTTCGAATTTAATCTTTTCTTCTTCTTTTTTTAT